CCCATTCTGTGGGTTGCCTGTTCATTACGTTGATAGTGTCCTTTGATAAAATTTTGATAACTTCCATTTCTGTTTCTTTTATTGTCTGTGCTTTTGATGTTATATCTGATAAATCATTGCCAAGCCAATCTCATGAAGCTCTTTCTTTGTTTTCTTCCAAGAATTTTATAGTTTTAAGTATTACATTTAAGTGTCTGATCTAATTTGAATTTTTTTTTATGTAGTATAAGGTAAGGGTTTGGCTTTATTCTTTTTTTTAAATTCATTGATTTTAAAGAGAGAAAGGGAAGGAGAGAGAGAGAAACATCGATTTGCTGTTCCACCTGTTGATGCATTCTTTGCTTGATTCTCCTATGTGCCCTCACCAGGGTTCAAACCCACAACCTTGGCGTATCAGGATGATGCTCTAACCAACATAGCTACCCAGCAAGAGTTGGCTTTATTCTTTTCTATGTAGAAATGCAGTTTTCCTAGCATGTTTTGTTGAAAAGGCTGTCCTTTCCCCATTGGTTGTGGCACCTTTGCCAAAAATCATTTGACCAGCCCTGTCTGATGTGGCTCAGTGGATTGAGTGCCAGCCTGCAAACCAAAAGTTCACTGGTTTGGTTCCCAGTCAGGGCACATGCCTGGGTTGCGGGCCAGGTTCCCAGTGAGGTGGTGTACAGGAGGCAAGCAATCAATGTTTCTCTCCCTCTCTTTCTCCATCCCTTCCCCTCTCTCTAAAATAGAATCTTTTAAAAAAATCATTTGACCATATTGTGAGGCTTTTTAAAGCTGTGGAATACAATGATAATCTTTAATGTTCTTATCTGCCCATTTTTACCTCTGTTTCAGTTGTGGGTTGGTTTTGATTACTTATTTTCCTCATTGTGGATTATGTTGCTTAGGACTTTACAAGCCTGACAGTCTTTGATTGGATACCAGATGTGAGTTTTACCTTGTTAGGTGCTGAATGTGTTTGTAATCCTGTAAATCCTCTTGAGCTTTCTTCTGGAATAGTTAAATTACTGGAAACAATTTAATCTTGTTGGGTCTTGCTCTTAAGATTTTTTTAGGCAATTCCAGAGCAGTGCTCATTCTAGGGCTTATTATTAGCCACTACTTAAGCAAGACCTTTCTGAGTGTTCTCAGAACCCCAAAATACTGTCCCCAGTGCCATGACTGGTGGGAAGAGACACTATTCTAGCGTCTTTAATCCTTCCTGATGGTTCTTTGCCTACCCTCAGATAGTTTCCCACTGGCTTGTGCCAGTCAGTTTTCTGATGAATATTCAAGGGGACCCTCTGCAGATCTCCAGGGGCTTCTCTCTGTGCAGCTCTCATTCTCTGGAATTCTGTCCCAGGAACTTGTCTCCTTGGTCTGCCCAGACTCTCATCACCGTCTTCTCAACTCAGGACCCTGGGCTCACGTCAGTCCTCCCTCCTTACGCTGCAGCCTGAAAGCTCTTCCAGGGCAGTGAGCTAGGGCACGCACAGCGCTTCCCTTGCTTGTTTTCTCTCTGGGATCACTGTCTTTTATTGGTCAATGTCCAGAGCCTTGAAAACCACTGTTTCATGTATATGGTCTGTTTTTTCTGGTTGCTTCAGGTGGAAGGATAAATATGATTTCTGTAATTCCACCTGGCTAAAAGCAGAAGTCTCTACTGCCAGCTTTTTCACCTGTAAGATCACAAGGCCTCTGTGAAGGACTGTATGAGCCCTGCTAAGTGAAAGGGTCACTCACACAGTAGGTGCTCAATCCGTTTTTCCCTCCTCTCCCACCACAGAAGGCCCTGACTTCTAGGAATCAGAATGACAGTGACTTGGCTGGACTTCAAGAACTCTCTAAGGCCAGAAACCTCACAACTGGACCTATGCTAGCCCTGAAGTCAGTACCGCGTGACCCTGAGGACCGTTACAGTGTGAAAGTGGTCCCTTGGGGGCCCCGTAGAAGGGCTGAATTTTGACTGTAAGCTCCCAGAGATGATGGGTTTAGTCATCCCACTAGACATTGTGGGCAGACATGCATTTCAGCCATGATGCTTGGTCCAAGCAAGCCATGGCACCAGGCTCCCCCAGCGGACACATTACCCCGTTCTAGCTAATCAGGTGCAAGGCGTCACAAGTCCAGGGTGGCTTCTAGGAAAGGTTTCCTCCATTCTAAGGGTGTCGTGGGAAGACACAATCAGCCTTCTCTGGAGCCGCCATATCCTAAAGTGATTCTTGGAGCTACTGCCACCATCTTGGCACCAACCTGAGGGTGGACAACAGGAAGGATGGCAGGTCAGAGAAGGCCCAAGTTCTTGAAGACATCACTGAGCTGCTGAATCAGACAACCCCAAAGCCCATCTCACCTGGATGATCACATAAAACAGAGAAAAGAAATTTCTTGTTTAAGCCAAAGTTTCTGTTAGATGCAATCAGAAAATTTAAAGTATTGTCACTGAGCCAGCCACCTGGAGGGCTGGAGGTCTATGTGGAGCAGAAGACACCTTAAAGGGACTTTTCCCTTCTGCTAAGGAATTCCAAGCTCTCCTTTAGAGGAGAAACGGGCTGAGAGCTGTCAAAAGACATGTCCGAGGCCAACAGTGGGGAATCGGGAGCACGCAGGCCCATCAGCCTTCCAGCTGCGGCCCGCCCCGCCACAGCCCCGTGCCCTTGAGATCCCGAGTCAGCTCTCATGTTGGGGCCTCAAAGTTCATAGCCCAAATCAATGTTTAGTGCTCCTGCTGAGCAAGGGCAAGCAGATAACAGAGGGTTCTTTTAATTTTTGTGTTGAAATCATGTCCATGGAGGAAAATATCAAAGTTCCCCAAGCTGTAATCAGCACAGTTACGGGTAACAACTAATTGCTATCTATTTTTCTGATTGAAAAGAACTTGTCCAAGAGTCCATCCCAGGCCAACAGAACAGGGCAGACCTCGCAGAGCAGAGGTGAGCAAGACCCTGGCGTCAGCGGCCCACGTTTGCTCTCCACGCCTGAGCAGGAAGCCCCTCCCTACCCTGGCCTGCCTCCATTCTGCGAGTATGTGTAAGCCAAGTGGCCATCTCAGTAGCAGGGACTGGGAATGGGCCCAAAGACTGATTGGAAAAGAGTTGCCTTGGGCCATACAGAGTTCCTATCTCTAGAGCTCGTCTTCTTCCACCTAGAAGACCCTCCTGAACCTCGAGGATGTGAAACATTCATTCATTCCACAAAGTTTCTGAGCCCTGCACTGTGCCGGGAGCTACCTAGGGGAGGAGTGTTCTGCAGTGAATAAAACAAAGTCCCCACAAGTGTAGAGAAACAGGCAGATAAATAAATAAACATACAATATAATGTTCGATGGTGGTAAGTGCTACAACAAAATCCAAATCAGAGAAAGGGGAAGGAGGGTGACGGGGTGTTTTTTAGAAAGGGCGGTCAGGGAAGGCTTCCCTGAAGAGATGGAATTGCAGCAGATGGGAAGCCTGCCAGGCAAATGTCTAGAGAAGGTTCCAGGTGGAGGGAAGAGCAAGCAAGGTCTTGAGACAGATTGGAAGACTAGCAAAAGGCTGGTATCACTGGAAGGAGGACAGGCATCAGAGAAGAGGCGACGAGGTCTGATCACAAGGGTCAGGGCCTTGCTGGCCATGAGGAGCACACTGCCTTTTCCTCTTACTTGCGATCAGACCCGTTGGAGGGTTGGGAGCAGAGGAGAGCCATGGCCCGATACAGTTAGGGAGCCACTCTGGCTGCTGTATCCGTATAAGCCCCGGCACATACGCGGTGCTCACTAAATGTCAGCAGTTACTATCACTGTTTTCAGCCTCATTGAACTCTTGAGTTTACTCAGGCAGATACCTGAGTAGTCATCTTGTATCCCCAGTGCTTAGCACAGGTCTGCTAAGATGTATGGATGAGCAAATGAGTGACTTGGGACCTGAATGAGTGAGGAAGCAAGAGTGGATTCTGAGGACAAGACTGATGCCCCAGAAGCAGGGCTGGGCCATACCCTTGCCGAGGTCAGTAGCAGTGTTAAGGAAGCATGGCCCTGGGCCATGCAGCAGAAAGATCAGGTAAGTGCCATTGCCCTGGGCCTAAGGACAAGCAAGATGCAGCTTGACCTCTATTTGGCTGCAGGAGCCAAAGCGCACCTGTCAACTACCAGGTAGGTATGGGGCAGGCAAGCCACATGGGGCAACAGTTTCCAGGACCACCAGGATGCTCTGAAGCTCAACCAAATTCCCCTAGGAGCATCGAGGACAGGTGTTTGGCACAAGAGAAACCCAGAGGGTACAGCTCACCTAGGCACTGGTGTCCAAAATTCAGGTTCTAGGCTGTACTTGGGAGGTGGCAGAGATTATTGTGGGTTAGGGCAACCAAGGAGGGCCTCCTGGAAGGTGGGTAAGGTTCAAACTGAAGATACTATAGAGCTGGCTGGTATCGTCTTGGCTCCAGCTGCCCTGTGAGCTCTCCCACCTCGGAAGCACATTTGATCCTCCCCACCATTACCCTTAGTTTTTGCATTCAATTTCTAGAAAATGGCCTTAAACTACCCATCTAGCCTTGCCTCTCCCAGACAGCCACACCCAGGGCACACGCTGTACCCTGAACACGTCATGCATTGTTTACCTCAGGGCCTTTGGTCATGCTGTTTACTGTCAGAAATTCCCTTCTCCAGCCCCAGTTTCTAAATTACTTACTGCCCATTCTTCAAAGCCCAGCTTTAGCGTCCAACTTCATAGAGATTGCCACCCCCCAACCACACACATCATACATACACAGTTGGGATGAGCTCCATGCCAAGCTGGACTTAATTGGGTTCTCTCTTTGGAGTGACTGTTGTGTGCCAGTTAGTTCTCTTGTCCCAGTGTAATTATTAGTAGTGTCCCCTTCACTCCCAGATGTGTTCTAGCTACATGACAAATTACATGGTCACTCATCATTGCCCCCACCCTTCCCTGCCCAGCTGAAAGCCTTGGGTTGGAACTATGTTGTCAGAGCCCAGCACAATGCCCTAACACACCGAACAGTCATTCACTCACAGTAATTCTGAGGTGCTCATGGGGAACAGCAGCAGACCAACAGGGAAGGGGAGAAGAGATGAAAGGGGTAGAGGATGACTTCAGACAGCCTGGGCAGGGAAGGCCTCTAAAGTGTTTGCGGCCCAAAAGAGTTGAGGGAGCCAGAGAAGGGAATATCTGCAGAAAGAAAGTTCCAGAGAGAAAAGCAAGTGCAAAAGCCCTAAGGTTGGAACACACGTAGTATTAAAGGAGCAGAGAGGCAAGTGTTGGGGGAGTGCAGAGGTCATTGATGGGCGATATCAGCAAGGACTAGAAAATGCTGAGCTTTGTCAGCCACGGTAAGGAATTAGGATTCTTTCTTTTTTTCCCCCCTGCCAATGGAGGGTTTTGGACAGGGGAGTAACATGATCTGAGTTATTTTTTTCCCCAGACAGAAAGGTTTTTATTTTTTCATCATGCATATAGTAGACAAAAGTGCCATGAATACTATTCTGATTGGACAAAGCCACCTCATGAATTTTTGTTTAGAAGCAGGTATCATTACAGTGATGCTGATTACAACATGGCAACTGGGGCACAGAATCATCAAAACCATCAGAGTTACAGGTTTCCTTTTGGAGGTTATCCTCACAACACAGTAACAATTTCCATTCTGAAGTCCTACAAAACCACCATATTCAAACTATTTCTAAGTACAGGGTTATATTATCAGGCCACAACAATTTGATAACAATCATGAATAGCCACATAAGTGCCCAAATGGCATCAAAAAATTACAGTGACATTCTTGTAAATGTTCTCAACTAAAAGCAACAAGCAGGCCTTGTCAGCTCAATTTTCCCAGTAGAAATGGAGAAGGGGATACTACGTAGGTTCTTGCTTAAAAGCAGTGAAATGAAAAACATAGCACTAACTTTCCACAAACACAAGATTTTACTTGGATGGAGAGAATCTCTAAAGTTGCAGTGTTCTGTTAATAGTCCTTTTAAAATGCGTGTTGGTGAATCAAAAAAATTAGGAAGAGATGGGGCTCTCTTCCTTCCACTCCACCAATTCTTAGGCATCTGTCTGTCCAGCTGCCTCTGGCTTCTGTTGCACTCCCCTACCACAGGCACACCCCCATTATTTTGTGTCAAGGCCTCCCCAAGTACTGGGGAGCAGAAGACAAGGCATTTCATGGGTAGGGAACTAGGCAGTGTCACCCCTAAAATATGATGGAAACAGCAAACAAAAGCCTGGAAAGGGGAAGGGAGAGGCACAACTAAGCTCTTGTACTTACAGCATCCCAGGAGGGGGACTGGACCTGCCAGAAGAAAGAGCTGGGCTAAAGTTAGTCTAAAAGGACACACAGACAGCATTAACAAAACAACGAACTATCCCTGCCCCTGGGATAGTACCCCTGGTCTCTGTTTAGCAGCCCTGCGCTGTCCCCCTTTGAAGATTATAGACCTTGCTGAAGGGGGACGGTCATGGGAGCAGAGGGGACAAAGAGAGGCAAATTAAGCAAGGCCGCCTCCTCGACCCGTTTATAAAAATCCTTGCTACTTCCATTTATTTTGTTTCTGAGCTGTTGTTTTAAAGAAAATTAAAAAAAAAAAAGTGAGCTCTGGGAAGGTGTAGGCCCTATGACCAGAAACACCCCTTCCCCAGCACCTCCAACCTGGCAGCCTGAAAACCGGGAAACTGGGGGAGCTGGATGCTGTAGGAGTCCAGGGACTGGGGCTCAGGAAGACAGGCTTCATTGCCCCTGCCTTGAGCACACGCCCAGATACGCCAGCAGAGCAGAGTTCCTGGGGGGTTGGGGGGTATCGTGCATTTGCAGGTGGCCACGCTGGGTCCCCTCGCAGCTCTTGTCCTTACAGACCTGAGAGCAAGCAAAAGGGCTGGTGGCAACCTGGGCAAAACTCATGAGAAGGATGATGGCTAGACACTGGTAAGGTACAGCACAGACCTCCACAGATAGCGGGCTGCAAAGTAGGGCCAACATGGGCAACATCGGGGTGATTACAAAAATGTGTTGCCCACTGCATCACGTCCTTGACCTCACCCATGCTCAACAGCCCTCTGCTGTGTGCCCATTCTACCGGATGTCCCAACAGTCCAGGAGCCTGGGGTAGCCTGGCCTGTCATCCTGAAGCTCTGAGGCCTAGAATGTCCAAGTGTGGTTGACAGCCAGCACAAATGCACCCACTTCATCGTGGATGATAAGACAGCTTGCCACAGCCAATGTGCAAAGCCAGCATAAATATGAAGCCCAGCATGTGGCCTTGAAGAGACACTGGTCCTTCCAGCAATGACTTGTGGCTGCCCACCTCCGAAATATGTGGGAAGGCCATGATCAAAGATGGGCCAGGAAGATGATGGCAGTGCATGTCTACAGCACTGGGTGCTTGGATAGACACTGTGGCCTGTGACTTCTGTGACGCATGGAGGCCGCATGGAAATAAGAGCTTGGTCATGAAGGCCTCGATCTTGGAGCTGTGTCCACTTAATATCCAGAGGGGCCAGAGTGCATGGAAGAGAAGCAGATGACAGAGTGCCATTGTTGGCCTAAGCAGATGTCTACAGGAGGTGGAAGGGAATCTTATGTAGGTAGGGGCCAGGTCCCAGGGCAGGACTTAGCCAGACTGGAAACCATAGGGCCTAGAAGGGGGCTCTGTGGGCCACCTTGCTAGGCCTCTCCTGGCTCTGTGGGGCCTATCTCCCAGCAGGTAGTACTGCAGGGGGTTGGGCCACAGGTCCTCCTTAATAATCTGGGCCACCCTGTCAGCCTCTGGGAGGCTGTGCTGTGAGAACCAGCTGAAGAAGCTGTGGACAGTCTCCCGGTTCCTGTGTACCAGAGCAGGCGGTTCCTGGCCGCGGTGCCATCGGATGCGAGTTGCGATAGACACCACTCGGCCTGAGGATCTGCATTCATACTCCTTCACGATCACCTTGTTCTGGAAGTAGGGATTGCTCCAAAAGCGGAACTTGAACTTGCAGCCCGTCCTGGCATGTCTGAGCTCCCTCACCTCCAAGTTCATCAGGTAACAGAGCATGTCTTCATCTCGGGGGCTGATTATGGCTGACAGCAGCGGGTGGTTCAGGAAGGCGGTGACCCAGAAGCCAGGAATATTCTGGATGATGAAGCTCCTACGGGCTAGGTGCAAGCGGTGCATGCGCCCAAACCTGCGCTCCAGCTGCAGGTAGGCCCTGTCTGCCTGGGCACTCACAGCCTCCAGCTCCCATTGGATGGCCTCCAGTGGGTCCACAACTGGGCCATCAAGGTTTAGGGGCCCGGGGCCCTCCTGCGCCGCCGCTCCCACCTCCAGCTTCTCCTCCCCGACCAGCTTCTCAGCCACCTCCATCTCCTCAGCCACCTCCATCTCCTCGCCCACCTGCTGCTTTTGCACCTCCCCCTCCGCCTCCTCCAAGAAGATGGCGCCCTCCTCAATCGTCACTTCCTCGGCCTTCTCGCGGGCTTCAGCGTGAACCTCCAATCCCACTGCGCCACAGGTTTCTGGGGCCTCGCCCCTGACAAGGCCGTTTTCCAGGTTAGGATGAGTCGCCACAGAGGACGCTTCCTGGCGCCCGAGGACAGGCAGGGCAGTCCCCAGGTCGTCTGAGGGGTCGGGATGGCCAAAACCCCCGGCTTCTCGGGCCCAAGCCGCCGGGGCTGGGCGCAAGCCCCCCTCCTGTAGGAGGACGGGCGGCAGGCAAGCGACAGTTTCCAGGACCCCCGCACCCTCCTCCGCCATCACCTGCGGAAGCCTCTGGCCTGAAGGGGCTCGGGGTGCGCGGGCGACACAGTGGGCTCCGTGAGAGGGGTGGCTCGGCGGCTGGCGGCGTTGGCGCTGGGAATGCGAGGCGGGGAGGCACGGTCTCCTCCGGGGCGCGCTCCGCCCCTCGTGCCCCCTCATTCCGGATGTGATTCACTAGGGTCGCCCGGCTGCGGGAGGCGAGGGGCCCGGAGGTCTGGCGGTGGAGCAGGGAGCTTCCTGGTGGGGAGCCTAGCAGAACTGGCTCCAGACTAGTAGGGCGCTGGCGGTTAAGTGGAGTGTACCAAGCAAGGAGCAGCTCAGAGCTGGCACCAGGGATCATCAGGCCCAACCCCGTTACAGACAGAAACATCACAGCTACCATGTCAGGTGATTACCGTTCCCGCATCTTCGTTGGGCCGGTGGGAGTCTCCCGATGCCCACATCGTCTAAGGCTTTGGGGCAGCTGTAGGACACCTGCTGCTTTGCATTAGGTAAAGTAGGCATATGCAGAGGGGCTGAAGAGGTATCCCCTGCAGACTAACCGGACTCAAACTGGGAGGAGCCGCAGTTGATGGTAATTGACGAGCACACGGAGGTGCTCAAAATATGTGAAGAAAGGAGAAACAAGGTCAGAGTAAAAGGATCTGAGGCAACAGGTATCAAATTCTGTCCAGAGAGCAAATGTGCATCGCCTAGTTTCCCCCAAACCAGCTCGGCCCTTCTGGGCTGGTAGGCTGAAAGGTAGACACTTTGTCCTAGGCTCAGGAGATTCCCCTTGGCTCTCTGTACCAGACATTTGACAAATGTGAACTCGAACCTGAAGTGCAGTCTTTCTCTGCTTGGCTAAGTAAGAGACTGGATGGACCATCCCTTACATCCCTGATCCTACAAATGCCTCTTCATTCCTGTGGTCTTGGTTTCTGAACTTGTGGCCTGTGAAGGTCAGTACACCTATGCCCCTGTTCTTCCTTGCTGCCTCCTCCAGAAAGCCTTCAGCTTGCTCTGGCTCAATGGATAAGAGCTCTGAGCCCCCAGACCCGTCCCGGGGCATGCACCCATAGAGGTCAAGGCGGATTCCCTTGAGGCCCTAGCCAGAGCTCTGACCCGCTGAGATGGACAGCAAACATAAGGAAATGGAAGGCCCGAGAGATGACGGAGCAGCCCACTGCCTTTTTTTTTTTTTTTAACATAAAACACCTGTTACGTTAACACTTGTTAATGTCCCATGGATTCCTGGGCTAGACTCCAGAGTTAATACTGCTTGGCTATGGACACTGGCTCCAGACCACAGAAAATCAAGCTCAGCCTGAGCCCTGGATGGAAGGATATCAGCACAAGGGATGGGGCCCAGGATAGTGATAACTATCTCTATTAGAGAATGGCCAAGCCATGTCAGCCTCTCAACAGTTTGTCAGAAACTAATGGATAGGCCCAAGTGTAGACACGGTCAGGGCCTAGCTCTGTCACCATCTGTGCATGGTGGGCAGGGTTGACATTTTTATTGGACCATCAGTATCTGTTCCTGTGCCGAACAGTACCCCAAATTTCCTTTGAGAAACCAGTTTTTCCCGTCTCGGCCCTGTCATCACTGGCTTATAGTGACTGGTTTGGGGATAGCACAGAACCCCATCAACACCAGTGAGACAGGATATACTTACTGGGGCTTCTGTGAATAAAGGGGCTGCTCTCTTCTGAAAGCCTGTTAAGGTTTCCTTTTCTCCCTGGTCAGCACTGTGAGAATGAACAGGTCTGGAATCAGCAGCATTCTACTCCTACACAAAAGGATAAGCCGCTTTGTCCACCCTGAGGATGAAGTCACAACTGCACAAGATAGGGCAGAGAGAACTCGGAATGCCAACACCAACCATTTAATTGCTGGATCAGTCCTAACCTAAAGACTAACCTACATCTGGCATTTTCAGTTCTATAAAATTTCATTAAGCCTATTTGGTTTTTCTGACCCCTGAATCCAAGATTAAGTGATAGTATGTTGCCACTTACCTCAAAGCCATCCTATTAAGGTCTTATTTCAAAGTGCAAAGCTTCTAGGTGCCAATGTGTAGGTTGTTACTGTCTGTCCTACACTAACCATTCCCTTGGATGCTAAAGATGTTTGTAGATTCCAGTTCTTCCCCAGGCTCTCTCCAACCCTTTCCCAAGCAGATAGGTTCACAACTTCCAAACACATCATTCAGAAGTTTTTAATAAACAACTTCATTATAAAAACTTTTTTTTGAAAATGTAATTCTGTAAAACATTGAAAAATCTACTTTAACAAAGATATGCCCTGTGCATTTTCTAATGGCACTTATATTTTACAATTAAAAACCTTGTTTTATATAAAGCCAAAAATACTCCAAGAGGTTATTCACTGTGTTTACAAAGTGCTAGAAGGTTTTTGTCTTGTATTTTTCTCTTTAAATAATCTGGCGTTTTGAAAGAGTGGCTCCAAAGCCTTGACCACTGGGAGGGAGGGAGGAAGGAAGGGAGCAAGAAGTGGTGTTTCAGGAGCTCTAGTGCTGAATATTCAGAGGTGGAGAGGTGCACATGGGGAGAATCAGCTAAGGAAGTCAGCTTAAATCCGAAGAAACCGGACTGGAATACTTCCTGCAAACCCCTCCGCAGAGGCACTAGGTTACCATGGTGAGCGCTCCTCCTGTCAGAACTAGAACACCCTTTTCCCTGCCCTCAGACCCTACTCTCCAGTGATGAAGGTCACAGCCAATTCCTTCCACAGCAGGTTCAGAGCTCCAGGAGAGGCCAGGGCGGGGTCCCAGAGGAATCTGGATTTTTCTGGCCAACACCTGCCTAAGGCAAAGTTTATTACATAAATATCCTTGTTAAAAAGCAAAATATTGATCCTGTACAATATAAACTGTTAAAAAAATTTCGTGCTTACAAATAGCTCCTAGATAAGAAGGGAGGTGGAAAGGGGAGTAGAAAAAACAGCTACCAAAAAGAAGGGAGGGAGGATAGAGGGCTACTAGAGGAAAGTTTAGGGCAGTGGGGGAATTTCAACTTAGGACAATATCTACGAGCAAAAAAGTAATCACACCTGCTTCCCGGATTTCCATTAATAAAATGCCATTTGTAAAAGGTTGGGGAAAAAATTCATTGGTGCTTCTTTCCCTATCTCTCACCCCCTTAAGATGTGCCCAGACCCTTTGTGCTGACAGAGTTGGGCATGCCATCCTCTGGCCTCCAGGACTGCACTCAGCTGTGACCAGCTACTGTGCAGGATGGGAAGTGCCTGCCCCCATTCAGGGCAGCTCATTGCTGACAGAAGTTAGAAGAGACGGTGGGGAATGGGGACATCACACCCCTTTTTCCTGGTCCTTATTTGGTCTCTGCCACATGCCATGGCTCCTGTCCTGGCCAGATGCCCCTCAGGCTCTCATGGCCTCAGTAAGGGTACTAAGTGGGTTTGGTACTGAGTGTAGGATATGCTATTATTCTTTGAACAACCAGGCTAATAAGGCTTTTTTGTTTGTTTGTTTTAATTAAGGAAAGGGAAGTTTAAGAAACAGCTGGGTGGCTATGGTAAAAAAAAAAAAAAAAAAAAAAAATGGTGAAGGCAGACGTTCCTCTGCACCAGCAAAGTTCACAGTGATAGGGAAATTCCTTGTGGGTGGTCAGGGCATTGAAGGAAGAGGTAAAGGGGCAGGATGGAAGGAGAGGAAAGGCAAGGCTCCAGTTACAAGGTTTTAAATATTCACTCTGCCTGTCCTGTGAGTTTCCCAACATCACTAATGGAGAGGATTCAAGGATGGGACAGGAAAGAGAAGGCAAAGAGGAGGGGTCTCCTCTAACAGCCTGAGACTATATCCTGTGGCCAGAGGCCCATTTACCTCTGTAAACAAAGGGTGTACGGAAGGTGACAGGGAGGGGGAGGATTGCTGGGTCTAGTGATGAAGACCAGAGACAAGGAGAATGGCAGCACTGAGTCCTGCTTGGATCCTCACATACCATTTCCTGTAATACGAGTCCCAATAACATGCACAGCATGCAGGAGGTGGCTGCGTACCAAGGCGGACGCTTTTAAAAATAAACTTTAATCAGTCCCTGGGACTCACTGAAACTAATTTTTAGAAGCAAATCACCTAGTCTGATTCTAACTTTGCCAGACATTTTTATATCTGGTTTTGTTTTTTTTAAAGGTATCCCAAGCTACCCTGCCTAAATCAAAAACATGCTTATTCACTCCACATTGCTTCCAATCAAGGGCTAGGGAGCTACAGTTTAAGGCTTTCACCTCAAACAAAGAGTACTGGCCTGGTCTGAAGCAGAAGCCTGTGTCTTGCACCTGCTCAGTTTCTGACGATATACCAAAGTTATTTCTAGACAGAAGGGTGAGGGGAGAGGACTAGGAGGAGACTGAGGCAGTTCCTCAGTAGTTTGTCCTGAAACCCTAGTGGAGAAGCCAGCACGAGGCACACACCGAGAGAAGTGCCCAGAGACTGCTGGCTGCATCTGTAGGAGTTAACAGTAAAGAGGTAGGAGTGTGTTTCTGAATCAAGAGTGGAAGTATCTCAAAAGGATCCCACAGTGGTGGTCCCTGAGCTACCTCCCTTCCATGAATGGGAAGAGTGCCCATGCAGAACTGAGATGAAGGATGAGGTTTGGCTGGGCAAGGGCTGTGCTGTCTCTGGCAGAGCCCCACAAGTCAGAAGAACTTATCATTTGTTGCAAGAAACCTTGCTGAGTATTGGGGACAAAACTGGGGGAAGCCACAACAGGAAAGTGGAAGTTTTTTGATGGAGAGCAGAAAAGCCTATGTACAGTGGCCCTGAGTCCAAGGAAACTGCAAAGTAGAGAGAGGGACACTGTGGGTAAGAGAAGTTTGGTGGGAGGCAATGATGCACCCACAGATTAGGATTTACCGATCGATCTGCCCAGTCCCAACTTCCTGAAAACTCTTCCTACGATTCTACAACTTCCTGGAAAATGGACAGGTAGGAGAGACAAATGAGGGTTCACACCCTCTCCTTTGCTTTTCACACCAGTCTAGAACCCAAGTCCCTCCTAAGACTAGTGATAACAGCTCATGATGTTCAGGGTTGGGGTTAGGGGATGGGGAGGTGATGGAAGTGGGCATGTCTTTCATTTCTTCCCCGCCCCAGTTCAAAAGTAGGATGAGGGGATCATGATATATACTTGGAGAAACACAGAATTGCAGACCTGTGAGAAACTGCTCCAATCTTCTTGCCTGTCTCCTGCAGACACTGCTGAGGAAGGCAGGAACGACACAGTCATGGAAGATGGCAGAGACTGAAGCAGTCCAAAGTCAGTTTATTTCCCCACAGGGGAAAAATATGACCTCAAGTGAAGAGAAGTCAGCGAGACCCGACTCCGCCTTGTAAACAGGGCTCCGGTTAACACCAGGTACCAAAAGGTTCCAGCTGGTGCCAACTGGAATGGACTGGTGGGAATGAATTCACGGTGTGTAAACAATGTTCACTGCAATCATTCTAAGGCTAACAGCTCGGCAAGAGAGGTGAAATGGTGAGTCTGAAGCGACTGTGTAAACAGTAACGTTGCTGGACAACACTGACTGAAAATGTAGGTGCTGGTAAAAGTGGGATGGAGGTGGTGAGGAAGAACAGAGGCCCTCTCTCCTGCCCGTTCATTGGAAGCAGGTGATGGAGCCAGGTGACCCTCTACAGCAGGGCCTGACCAACTGCTATGGAGTCGGCAGGTTGGGACCAGAAGGCGGGCTTCTTCAGCTATTTTTCTCGAGGTCATCCAAAGTGAAACCCTCTGTGTCTCCAACAGGTCTCCCCATTCTCCAAAGAGGAGGAGGTTCTGACACTTTGGAGAAAGAGAGGACTAAGTGTGGCTCCCGATTCAGATTAAAAAAAGTAAAAGTAAAAATACCTGAAGTCCTATAGTATGCGATCTTTTCATGGGGTTGGGGCTCAAGGCTCCTCCTGGAACTGATCCTGGAGCCTGAGCCCCCAAACCAAGTGCTCCATACAGATACTGGAATATTTTCTGTTTGAACCCAGCTCTGAGAGCTCAGCTGCGTTTACAGGGCATGCAGATGGGATGGGTACTGAAGCTCCCTGACAGAGTCCAAGACTGAGCTGAGGGCCTCCTTGGGGGCTACTGGAATGCCTGGTGGAAACGAGGCAGGGTGGTGGTACTCAGGCCAGAGGTGAAGACAGGAGGCAAGGAGTGCAGGGGCCCAAAGTTCAGAGGTCCCCCAGCTCCCGGGGAATCTTGAGGCTGAGCTTGCAATGTGGTGAGCAGGGGCTGTGCCTCAGCCTGGGAGTAGCCCATGACCAGGCCTCCCGTGGCCCCAGGTGGGTTACACGAGGGCAGGTTGAGTGGAAGAAAGCCCAGTAAGTGGGAGAAGTCCACATTAGCAGCGCAGAGGGCCTCAGAGAGGTTGGCGGGGCTCTTGGTGAGCAGTGCTTCATCTAGGAGGGCCGCAGCTGCCGCCGGCTGAGGTGAGGCGGGCTGGGGTTCAGCGGATGAGAGAGACAGGCTTCCAGGAAGCTCCGCCAGAAAACTATCCACCTCCACTTTGGGCAATTTGTCGGGCAAGTATGAGGTAGATCCAAGTTGGTATTTTGGAGGAAGCTGAGCTGGAGAAGAGATAGGTGAGGATTCCAGAGGGTAGCTCATACCCATGGGCAGCGTGTTATGCACCAAGGAGTGTGGCATGCCCGCGCTGGGCATGGTAGGGATGTGGGTGCCATACATGCCCATGGGTAACATGCCTGGGAAGGCCTTGGGCCCCATCATGTCCCGAGAGGCCATGCACAGCACAGGACTCAGCTCTTCCTTCACACTGACTGTGGAGCTGCAGCTGAGAAGGCCTAACATGTCCACTGGCTCTGTCTTAATCTTGAGCAGCTCCTGTGAGTGGCTCTTCTTGACATGCCGTGTCAGATGATCCTTGCGGCCAAACCGCTGGGCACAGTACTGGCACAGGAAGTCCTTCCGGCCTGTGTGCACTACCAGGTGCCGCCGCACATCCTTACGAGTATAGAACCGCCGGTCACAGTGGTCACAGGGGTGCTTCTTCTCCTTGGCACCCCCTGCTACCCGGCGTGAATGGGCCTTCAGGTGCTCTAACAGGGCCTGGGTACTCTCAAAGGTCTGCAGGCACACCTTACAGCTGAGGTCACCGCTGCTAGCGGCATGCATGGCCAGATGACGCCGGTAGCCCAGCTTCGTATTATAATTCTTACCGCATTCGGAACAGTGGAGAGCCTCCTTGTTGGGGTCATGGGTCTGCAGGTGGTTCCGGAGATGGTCCTTGCGGTGAAACATCTTATCACAGTACATGCACTGGTGTGGTTTTTGGGCTGAGTGGGTGGCCATGTGCCTGGGGTAGAAATGGTAGAGGAGAAAGATGAGATTCCAAGGGCTGGCCAGACAACTGAGGTAACTATTAACAGGGAACTAGATATAAAAATTACGGTAGGGTGATGCAATGCAATGGGTGGAATACCATGCCAACTCTGTTCTAGATATCCTTGCCCACCTGCAGAATCACACATAGGGTGGAGCAAATGAAGGCTTACAGTTATTCATATGGAAAATAATACAATAACCAATAATACAAAAGTAAACTGTTCCATGTACTCACAACTGTAAACCTGTTTCTGCCCCACCCTATATGTACTGCTATTCTTTGCAGCATTGTGTACTGTAGCAAAACATCAGGAATAATCTAAATGTTCACCAAGAGAAGACTGTTTAAATAAATTATGATAAATTTATAAAATAACTCAACTTTTTTTTCTTAAAGATCTTATTTTATGACTCAGCTTTTTAAAAACAAAAAGGCAGCCCTGAGCCATGTGGCTCAGTTGGTTGGGTATCATCCTGCAAAGCAAAAGGCTGCCAGTTTAATTCCTGGTCAGGGCATATGCCTGCACTGCAAGTTTGATCCCTGGTGAGGGCACATATGAGAGGCAACCAATCGATGTTTCTCTCTTGCATCAATGTTTTTCTCTGTCTCTTTCTCCCTCCTTTTCCCTCTCTCTAAAAATAAATAAGTCTTCAAAAAAAAAAAAAAAAAAGGCAGCTTTCTACGTACTTACAGGAAACAAGCTTCTAAAATATAGAAAGTGTAAAACAACAAGACAGAAGAGTGCATACAGACTGGTACTATGCATATAAGAGAGGGAAACATATCAAAGTTTGCATGTATGTGCTTTAAACATTTCTGGAAGGATATAAAAGAAATTGACAACATTGGTTGCCCTTGGGGAGAAGAAATATGCAGCTGATGGGTGTGATGGAGCATTTTCATTGCATATCTTTTGGTATCTTTTTAATTTTAAATTATGTGAATATATTTCCTTTTTAATAAATTGTATTTAAAAAATTTTAAATGACAAAATAAAGGGAAAGTGAAATATATCTAAACTTCCTGATCTGGGGCTGAGTCAAAAAAGGAAGTTCAGTATAGTGTATGTAATATAATCCCTTGTTAAAATAAAAAGGGAATACATGTTTGAATGTCTCAGCAAGGACACATAAGAAAGTGACTCCCCTTCTCCCCCCGCAGCTGCCTCTGGGGGAAAGAACAGTGACTTCAAGTGTGAGAACAATTCATTTTTCACTGTATGCCCATTTTTACCATTTAAACTGTCTGCCATGTAAACTAGCAACATTTAAAAAATATTTTCATTTGCCCTGGCTGGTGTGGTGCAGTGGTTTGAGTGCTGGCCTACAAACCAAATGGTCACCAGTTTGATTCCGTGAGGGGACATGCCTCAGTTGCAGAACGTGTCCCCAGTTGGGAGTGTACAAGAGTGCACACACTGATGTTTCTCACCCTCTCTTCCCCTCTCTCTAAAAATAAATAAATCTTTAAAAAAGAAAAGTTTTCATGTTATAGCACCCTCGTTTCCCTTGGTTTACCTGCTCCCATCTGGCTGGAAACCAGCTCAGAGTCTAGAATTACAACCCAGAGCTCCATAATACGTTCATAATTGCCTCCCCAAGACTTTCAGGGCCCACCATTTGCCAGGCCCTGTGTGAGTTGAGTCATTAACCTTGTTTTCCATAAGAGGCTAAAGCATAGAGCAGTCCCACACACCAGTGAGTAAGTGGCAGGCGCTAAATTTAAGCACAGACCTTGAGAACAGGGTTCACTTAGGCATGCCACCACTGTCTCTAGTATAGCACTCAGTGATCCTTTCTATCTGAAGGGCATCAGACATTCCATTATTCTCATGCTACTCTCATGCTCACACCTATAAGGTTACTATTGACCTCCTGGGACGTAACTGACATGATGATGTATGAGAGCAAAGTGCTGAGTGATCCACAGTCCACTTCCCTCATTTTGCAGGTGAGGAGGCGAAAGCCTGAAGAGGTTCAGTAACTCACCTAGGATCACACAATGACTATGGGTGGAGTCAGGGCCTTGCCTTCTAGACTAGGACCTTTCTTGAAGCCTCTCAGTGACACCCAGTCTGTCCCTAAGGTCATCTAAGAGCAAGCTCTCCAGCACTTTTCATCAGTGTGACTCAAAAAACACATAAAAATTTTCAAAAAAAAAAAAAAAAAAAAAAGATCTAAAAGGACAGCTGCAAATGGAGTCCACCTAAGACACAGGAGCACACAGAATCAAAGCATTCCTGAGGACCACAGAACTGTCATGAGGGCAGTCCTGGTCACATACCCTGCTACCTGTTTTAGTTCCTTCCTATCAACTGTTTTCCAGACAAGGAACTGAGGCTTTCTGTGGTTATCTTGTTCATATATTTACTTGTTTGCTATCTGTCTACACTATTAGGACAGTAAATTCAAGGAGGGCCAGGCTCCCATCTATCTGTGCATGGTGTGTAGCAGGAGCTCAATGAATACTAGTTTGATAGATGAATAGATGAAAAGACTATGCGTCAGGCAGTCTATATCATTTGTAAAGGGCATGTTCGTGTTCCTCTGATAGAAAAGCAAGGATAAAATTAAAATTGCTTTTAAGCAGACCCCTCTCTTCAAAGCTGCTCTGCCATATCTGCTTTATACCAGGGCTTTCACATTCCATTTCACTTTAGCAAGGGTTCTTGGTCATACAAGTTTCATGAAGGACATTGACCCAGAGGATACCAGGGACTCTACAGACACAAAAGTAATAATCTGAGTGACAGGCTGGTCCAGTAGAAGAGGCACTATAGGACCTAAGAAACTATGTGACCTTGGGTAAGTTACTTCCCCACTCTGAGCCCCCACTTTAAAACTTATAGATAGGGCCACAGTGACTCCTTTTTCTCCTAACATACTAAGATTGATTCCTAATTTCTAGCCAAGATTTTCACCATAACCTTACAGGACAGGGGAAAGTAGCACAGAAAAAAATGTTCAATATAGTTTGTTCATGGCTATCTGATAGTGGTACCCATCATATTCTAGTGTTTGAATAAAAGCCACCACCATTGCCCTGGCTAGTGTGGCTGAGTTGGTTAAAGCATTGTCCCATAGACCAAAAGGTCACAGGTTTGATTCCTGATCAGCGCACATACCCAGGGTGCAAGTTAGATTCCCAGTTAGGGCACATATGAGAAGGCAACTGATCGATTGTTTCTCTCTCACATCAATATTTCTCTTTATCTTGCCCTTCTTCTCTCTCTAAAAGCAATGAAAAGTCCTTGGGTGAGGATTAAAAACAAAAACCCACCACCATCATTTTTCACTATGTGATCCCAAATGGTTGGCGTTCAGGACATACTTATTGGAAAAATTAACCTCTACTCTTTTGCCACACTCAGTGGAGTTTCTCTGGCTTTGTCCTCCTGGAACCTCAGGACGGGAAGAGGTATAGGAGTGTCACCTACCTATACAGCTTATACTTAGAGGCAAAAGCCTTGCCACAGTGCAGCTGAGGGCAGCTATACGGTCTCTGCTCTGGGTGGGGGAGGCTGTGAGGTCTCAGCTTCTCCCCATTTGAGAAGGGTGTCCCCGAGATCTCGCATTGGCACTTCACTTGACTCTCCACCTCCCGGCCCCGAGGTCTGGGAACTAGTTTCCAGCCCACTTCCTCCTCCTGCTTTGCATCTTGAATCCAGGGGGGGACGCTGGTGAAAAATGTGGTCATGGCAAGGCTAACGGCGAAGGGCCATGTTACTCAGAAAGCCTCCCCATCGGCTCCACACAGGCTCTCTGCTCTGTCACGGCCTCCAACGCAGCCTTCAGAAAACAATCTCTTCACCTGAAATATCAGAATACCTGGTGTTAGGGAGTCCAATACAATGGAAACAGAGGCTCTGGAGGCAAACAGAGCCCCGTTCCAATCCCAGCCCTTCCAATTACTTATCTGAGCTGTTCCCTCATTTACAAAATAAGGTTAATAATCTCCTAAATCATAAGAATGCTCTAAGAATTAAATGATAATGAATATAAAGGATTCAGTAACAGGCTGGGCACCTGATAAGTGCTTAGAGCTTACTATTATTACTAGTACCGCTAGGCTAACAGGAAGCAAGATAATCTGAGGAAATAAAAACCCTAAACTCCAACCTTTCTCTTCTAACTTCTCTTTGACATTCTTTGCACTAAACTTGTCCACCTCCTCTTCTTCCTCTTAACCCTAACTCCCCCTCATCCACTATTTTCCACAACTCTACTTCTCATGGAGGTGCTAAGGAGCAATAAAATGCCCAAAAGGCAAAAGAGGAAAAGCAGCAGCAGCCTTTATTTAGCAAATTTACACCCTGAAAAGTCATCCTCCTGAGCCAGATGTGTTTCTTAGCGGCACAACACCAAGAGGTTCTATCTGAGGAGGCAATAGCACACTAAGCATCTCCCCTGATCCTTTCTGGTCCCACCCTGCCCTCTACCATCTCTCTGAATCTCTTGGTCTCAGGTCCAGACTATGCTTCCTTAGCAAAGCCTGTCCAATGCCCCAGGCTGCTGAGTGGCCCCTCCTACAGCCCTTCACAGCACACATGCATTTCTCCATTACAAGCAGGTAACAACACACGTGCATTAGAACGTAGTCTCTTCCACTGAACTCTGATTCTTTGAGAGCTCAGATCTTATCTCTTTCATCTCCATACACCTAGCATCTAGAAAAGGACCCTCAACTTTCTTTTAGATGAGTATATTAGTTGTTAAACGTAAGTTGATTCTCATAGGCTTAACTTAGGCTCAAGAAGTTCTGGTGTAAAATGGGTTTATCGCAATTCCAGAGTGCGGAGCCATTATCCTGAAGTCTGATGCTTTCTTTTGTTAAGTAGAAGAGGAGAGAAAGGGGGGGCTGGAGCAAGGTGATACTACTTCTTTCCTGACATCAACTCAGAGGAAGTGGATGGGAGTTACCAAGCTGAATCTCAAAAGTGGGACAGGAGACCCACATTCACAAACTAGTCACAGATTACCTATCACAATGCAACCTGCTACAGCAGGGACTCCCTCTGAAGAGGTCATGACAAAATACGGTTACGAGACTTCTCCACATGAAAGGAGCAAAGGGGATATCGAGGAACTGTCCAAAAGAATCTGGGGAGGTCTCTAACCACACAAACTAGCTGTGGGCCACAGAATGCTTGCTCAGCTCACTAGCACCTGCTGCTTACAGTGACCATTCACCCAACAGACTGGCTGTGAACAAGATGATAGGATCATTGGGTTCATGCCCTGGAGAGCTTTGCTCATCATTAACATGAGCTTCGCTCTGTTCAGGAACCATTCCACTTGCTGAAGAAACATTGCAATGTAATATGATCAACGTTTCCCCATCACAAGTGGAGATTTGCCTAGAAAGATCTGCACAAAGGTTGGCTACATTCTACATAAGTCACATGCTGGTGAAGCGTAGGTAGCACTGAAAACTAGTCCCACCTGAGCCTTCTAGTCAAGGCATATTTTACCTGCTTCACTATAAACCTCAAAGGCCTCTGACGTCTAGCTTTCATTAAGTATCCTCCTTTATCACAAGGGTGGAATTACCTGTTTATAACACCAGTGATTACCACGCACCTTGGAATGGGGTAGAGAGCAAGCACAAGTTTGAAAGTCTAGTTTGGAGGGGATTTCCCCTACCTTCAAAGTCAAATTCTGCTCCCCCTTGATGTCTGAAATCAGGCACCTCAACCTCTGGAAAGTTGGGAATGGCAGGCAGCCAGAGGGAAGCAAGTTGCGTCTCTGGCTAATGTGAAAGGGGAGCATAGCCCTGGAAATTCCGCACAAACTCAGAAAGAGAACAGTACATCCCCCGCCTCCCACACGTCCACCTCATCTATTCTCCTGAACAAGCACAAACAAGACTGAGCAGTTTAGTATGCTGCTACTGAAAGAGTGAGTAATGGGCTTCTAGGAAACAGGCTGGTGGTGGCTAAGAGCTCACGAGGTTGTACTCAGAACCAAAGGAGGAAGGCAGCAGCCATGTGCTTGCCTTGATCTGCATTTAATGGGGCTATGGCTTTAAAAAGAAAACAGCCAACACCCTGATCCTATTCCCCCTATGCTTTTAAAAAGGCACAGCGGAAGTCCTTACCTACAGCCACTGAAAGGCTACTGGATAACCAAAGCTGCTAGTGTTACCTTAGGAAACCTTTCGGGAATCTAGTCTCTCTCGCTCTGTCCTTTGTCTGCAATCTCCTCTCATCCAGAAAAATTCCTAGGCTTCTCTCACATTATCAGGCCTATTCCTTCAGACTTCTTCCTCAACAAAACTGTCAAAGAATTCTTTTCTTTCAAAGCTGCTCTTCTGGTCTCACACGCTAACTTTAACTACAGAGAAGCTGACAGAACCTGTTCCCATAAAACAAACACAATCAATCCCTCCCAGTCACTGGTGTTACTCAGTGTATTTTCATCCTAAGATTCTTTCTGGCACCTGATCTAAAGAGGGAGGTAGCATGGAAAGAACCTTGGACTTGCTATCAGAAGAGTGGCCACTTACTGGCTGTGGAACAATGGGCAGGTTATTTTGTTTCTCTGAACCTCAGTTTCATCAATTTCTACAAGAGAGGTTTACTGGGAGCATTTGAGATCTTGCTTCCCAACACTGTCCTCAGTTTGGCTAAAATAAATGCTTATAAAAATTCAAAATAAAATAAAAGAGATTTATTATCCTTACCTATAATATTCACATGGAGGATTAAGTGAAATAATTCTCTTGAAAGCATCTGATACAGAAAATGTGTGAATACATGCAGTGTTATCTCTGATATCTAAATTGTGTCTGCCTCTTTTCCACGTGGGGCCTGAGTAGTACTTCTGTCCCCCCGCACCTCACCCCCTCTTTTAATGTTACTCTTTAGACCTCAGCTTCCTTCCCTTCCTAACATCTCCCCAGAACGCAACCTTCCCCTTTTCTCCTCACAATTAACCCTCAGACATCCCCTCTCATCAGTCTGTCTTTACCTTCCTACAATACCATATCCTGGGCCAGAGCTCTCTCACTTTAGGAATCTCTGCTATTATTAAGACTCCATACCCCAAATACAAATGCCTGCTGAAAACTCTGTATGGCCACCTTTAGCAGATGAAAGGACAAATTGCTCCCTACTCAGTCTGTTTGTCCTCTGTTGTGAGCCATGATTCCTGCTGCCTTCTGATGCAACTAGTTTTTATGGTGTTACATCATCTCTATAGAAACTGCGTTCTTTCTCCATTATTAGCCTGTTTCCTCATATGTAAAGCTAAAAATACTTACCTCACAGGCTTGTTGTAAGGATTATGTTAGTCAGGTATGCGAAGAGCTCAGCATAGGGCTGGTCTGCTGTAAATACCCAACAAAAGGCAGCCATTATCTTTGCCTTTGTATTGAGTTGCATATTCCCACCTTCTGCTGCCACACTTGAATTCTCTGAACCATCTCAAAAAACTGTTGAGAAATAGCCCTCCTGCAGCAAGGAAAGGGTTAATCTCTAAGTGTTCTTAACTAGAGAGACCCACAGAGGATTAACAGCTCCACTTCAGTGACTACCCTAAAATAGCTTTTATCCCTCCTGCCTAAGAGCTACTTGGGGATTTGAAGAACTTAATTCAACACCTGCTGAAGAGGAAACACACCCTGGAACCCGTTCCTTAGGGTGGATAGAATCTTCCCTTAAGCAGAACCCAAAATAGCAACTGGAAAATTATAAATAGATTTAAAGAAAAAAAGCCCGGTCCTGACCTGCGCACCAGAAACAAATCCAAAAGACACACTGACTGGATGGAAAACAGTGAGAAGAATGAAAATAGTCACCCCCCCCCCCACTGCCACCCGCACACTCTCTCACACACTCGAGTGGTAGGAGAATTAAATTACAGAGAGGTTGGAGTCTCAGTAATTTGCATCATTCCAAGGGACATCAAACTCGATTACCAGGGGTTGGATTTACTCTTGGGCTGCTAGTTCTGTCAGTTTAGACGGACCCTCTCAGGGGTGGCCTTTGATTCGCTATTTCCTCTCGTTCCTGCTGCCCCCCACTCCTGAGGAGGCCTCGGTAAAAGGGCTGCAACTCACTACAGCCCCACTTTCATGAAGAGAAAACCTGATAGATACCCACCCCCACCTCTGCCCCGATCTGGTGGCCTCACCTTGGGGGGTGGGAGGTAGATTAGAAACCCAAGGCCAGCCTCTCTATCAGTCCTAAACTGACAGATGCAAAAACACCCGAACCAGGAGACAAGCTACACTGGTAGGTTAAAGCCCCAATAACCCTCTTCCCCCTCCCGCCCCCCACCCCCGCCCCCGCCGGGCTGAGGCTATGGTGCAGGACTGGATTTGCAGGGAACAATCTGGTTCCTCCAGCAACTTCTAGACCACCCCACTGTGTGGTGGGAAAGGTTACATTCCCCTGGGGCTGGGAGAGATGGGAGTGGACTGCTGCCGGGGAAGGAACAAATTCAGGGGTGGGTCTGGAGATCGCAGGTATAGGAAGAAAGGGTAAGTATGGCAAAGAACCATAAGCAAGCTAACGGATCTCTAAGGGACCCCACTCGCCCCAAAAAGAAAGAGACTGGGGGATTACAGGGACTGAAAGGTTCCAGAGAACCACAAACATATTCCCCGAATTTTAAAAGTCTGGAAATGGGTATCCGGATGAAATATCTAAGGTTAGGGAGTACAGTCACTGAGGAGGAAACTATAGGTCTTATTAGGGTTCTCCAGAGCCAGGTATTGGAGGGAAGCCTGAAAAAAGGACTGTGAGGTTCCGGAATATGAAAAAGAGTAAAGAGCGGACTATCCGGAGCAGGGAAGGGGGCTCTGTGGGTCTGGTAGGCGTGTCTGAGGGGAGGGAGCAGGTGCAGCTTATCTGGGTCTCCAGGGACTCTCGGGGTCGGGGGTAGGGGACCCTTAGGGTTGCGTCTGCAGGTCTCGGAAGGGAGGGGGAACCAGTGGAGTTTCTCAGCGTCCCTCAGGCCCCAGGTGTCGGGTCCGGGGAGAGTTTTCGTCACCCTGGGGCCTATCTGGGCCCGGGCTGACGCAGAGGGGGCCCCGGTTGGGGGTGTGGACGACCGCGCCGAGGGGCCCAAGAAGAGGGGCTCCGCCGCTCCGGGTGCCGGGCGCGCGAGCGCAGCGAGACGGCCTCCCGCCCCGCTCCCCGCCGTCCCCCGGTGCCCTCGCCGGCACTCACCACGCTCGGGCTCCGCCAGGCCCGTTCAGGCCCCGGTAGTGGCGGCGGTCGGGCCATTGTACGGTGCATTGTGGGAGCCGCGCGAGCGGGCGCTCGGGCCGTGGAGGGGGCGGTGCCGCGGACTCTCTATGGTCCCGCCCGCCCGCCGGCTAGAGCGGCCAGGGCGGTGCGCGGGCGGTGCGCGGGGACCGTCGGGAGCGGGGCGGACGCTCACGCCCCTCCTTTTTTCTCCTCCTCCGCGCCGCGGCGCGCTCGGGCCTTCGAGCCGACATGGGCGCCGCCGCGTGGGCATGGCCGCCCTTGCCGCTGTGTGCGTCTCTTCTGCTGCTGCTTCTGCCGCTCCCGGGGCTGCCCGCGGGCTCCTGGGATCCGGCCGGTTACCTGCTCTACTGCCCATGCATGGGTAAGGCCTCCCGAGCCCTCTCTCAAATGAGGAAACTGAGGCCCAGAGAGACGAAGCCACTCCTTTGAGGCAACCAGAGATACCTTGACAGGTCTAGGGGAGAACCCCATCGTGGGCAATGAGATGCCTCAGTGTCCAACCTTCCATTTGGCAGCAAATGAGAAAACTGAGGCCGGGAGAGGTTACACGTTTTGCGCAAAGTCTAAGCAATCCCGGAGCCTAGCAAATAGAGTTAGTGGGACAGAACTTTATGTCATTAACCCAACGCTGACTCTGGGCGATTCTTTCACTCATTAGAAAAGTGTTTGCAAGGCGCTTACTCTGTGCCCAGCCCTGTGCACTGCTCTAGGGATTCAGCAGTGATAATACAGAAAACTCCATGGCCTTTAGAGCTTCCATTTTAGTTGGGAAAGATAGTCAGTAAAAGATAAGCTTAAACAATAAGTAATTACATATTATTACTTACGGGAAAATAGAGAAAGGTAAGGGAGAATCTGATGGCCCGCCAAGGGGTGCAATTTAAATGGGATGGTGGATCATCATTGTAAAAATCATGCATTTCTTTAAATCCTCCAGACCCCTAACCATGATAATTTGGACCTGTGCCCATTTTCATCACACCGTTCTCCTTTCCCAGATCCTCCAGCTGCACACTTATCCCCTTTCTGTTCTTCAAGGATACTCAGATCCTGAAGCTTGTGCTATTGCCTATGCTATTCCCTCTGCCTGGAACACCCTCCTCTTCACTTCCGCCACACCAACTCCTTCCCATTCTCAATTCACAGCTTAAATGTTGCCAAAAAGGACTTCACTGACCTCAACCCAAATAATGTCTTTATTCTCCATTATCAAACTTTTTTCATTTCATTCTTAAAATTATCAAAACTTGTCAGTGTATATTTATTTACACGTTTAATGTAAACGTGGCTGGACCGTGAGTCCTAAAGGGCAGAGACCTTATCCTTCTTGCTCACTCCTGTATTTTGGCACCTAGCAGAGAGCCTGGCACATTGTGGCATCTCAATAATATTTGTGGGATGAATGAATGGATGCCATGGTAGGGATAACAAGGAGAATGAGGCAGGGTCCTTGCCCTGAGGCATTCGTAGCCTGAGGACACAGCAAGTACAAAGGCCAGGAATGGGAAAGGACATTATAGGATTAGTGAAGAACCCATAGTAACTCAAATCCAAGAGGGGAAGCAGAGGAGGGGGACTGAGTAGTGACAGCAGATTGTTGAAAAGATCCCAGTGAATGAAGCATCAGAGTTGGCTCTTCTTGCACAGGTGAATAGAGATAAAGGTGAAAAGCACTCCTGGAGTGAACATCAAAAAGCAAAGGCTTAGGCACTAGTCAGTGTGGCTCAGTTGGTTGGAATGTCACCTTGTAACCAAAAGGTTTGTGTTTGATTCCTGGTCAGGGCACATACCTGGGTTGCAGATTTGATCTGCAGTCCAGGGGCGTGCAATCCCTGGTTTGGGTATGTGTTGGAGGCGACCAGTCGATGTTTCTCTCTCTCCCTTCCTCTCTCCCTTCTTCTCTCTCTAAAAGCAATGAAAAAATCGGGTGAAGATTGAAAAAAAAAAAGAAGAAGAAGAAGCAAAGGTTTGGGTTGAATATGTGTAGACTAGAAATGTAGAGCCTGTTTGGGAAACAGCAGGGAACCTGGAGTGGCTGAAGCAGAAGGGACGGGCCTGAAGGGCCTTGACTGTTAGACCCAGGAGTCTAGACTTGATCCCACACTACCAGCTCCCCTGGCTCTTCCCAACCCTGGCTCTGCATCCTTTATGAGCCTTGCATTCTCCATGCCCTCAATGCCCCAGGCCTCACCTCTCTCGCAATATACCATCCAGGGCGCTTCGGGAACCAGGCTGATCACTTCTTGGGCTCCCTGGCATTTGCAAAGCTGTTGAACCGCACCTTGGCTGTACCCCCTTGGATTGAGTACCAGCATCACAAGCCTCCCTTTACCAATGTGAGTACCCCCCGCTGACCTTGGCCCTTGTCCACTCTTCTCCAATATTGTTCACCTTTGCTTGTTGACCCCAAGTCCTCTGGGCTTTACCTTCCACCCCTCTGTTCTTGCCCTACCCCGACCCAGAACTGTCTTCCCTGGCATAAAATGACTAATGTTTCTCCTGCACTGGTTGTCTGCCAGGTACTGTTCTGAGCGCTACATGAGGATTAGCTTTCTTCTCCCTCATCACATTCCAGTGAGAACTCTGATTTAGAGAGGTTAGCTAATTTGTCCTAGGTCATACAGCGTGTGCATAGTAGAGCTGGAATTCTAGCCAGTGCTGTCTGACTCTAGGGCCTGTGACCTGAATGTAAAGCCTCATTTATTTCCAACCCTGGTTGATCTCACCCTTTGTGCATCCCATTGGTCAAAGGGTAATGGGTGCTATTATCAGTTTTGAAAGATAATATTGAAGCACAGGTTAGTTCATTGTGTCCAAGGCCACAAACCCAAGCTCTCATCCCAGTAAGGAGCTTCCTGAGCATAGTGACGCTCAGTATCCTCCAATTCCTTGCTTATTCTCAGTCTTCCACTGGTCCTGTCTTTGTTCACACTGTATCCATGGGGGCCTGGCAGTAGTAACTGAATTAATATTTAATGAATTGACTTTAAAAGTTTACAATAAGCCCTGACTGGTGTGGCTCAGTGGGGTGGGCGTCATCCCACAAACCAAAAGGCCACTGGTTCAATTCCTAGGCAAGGCACATGCCTGAGTTGTGAGCCAGGTCCCTGGTTAGGGGAGTGCAAGAGGCAACTGATCGATGTTTTTTTCTCTCACACATCACACGTTGATATTTCTTTCCCTCTCTCTCTCTCCCTCCCTTCCCCCTCTCTAAAATTAAATAAAATCTTTTTTTTTAAGTTTTCAATAAACCTTAAAAAATTATACTTAGTATGTTCAAAACATTGTATTTAATTTTTATAGTCTTTTCTCTGCATAGGATTTATTTTTTCCTTCATATGCCTGTATTTAGAGAGGGTTGTGTTTTTTTTAAGATTTTGTTTACTTACTTTTAGAGAGAGGGTAAAGGAGGGAGAAAGAGAAGGAGAGAAACATGGATTCGTTGCCTCTCACATGCCCTGAACTGGGGATCTGGCCAGCAACCCAGGCATGTGCCCTGACTGGGAATCGAGCTTGTGACCTTTTGATTTGCAGATGGGCACTCTATCCACTGGGCCACACCAGTCAGAGCCAGAGAGCTTCTTAACAAAGGTTAAAAACCAGAGTTCTTGAAATCATAGCCTGGCTTGGCCACTTACTAGCTGGATAGTTGAGCAGGGCACTCTTTGTGTCTTGCTTTCCTCATCTTTAAAATAGGCTGGTAATAATGGTAGCTGTCTCCGACCAAGACTTAGTGATTATAGCATGCCTTGAATGACGTACGTCTCTTTCTTAGAGTCAACTGAGCTCATCAGCATAAAGAGCTTAGGACGCAGGAAGTCCACAGTTACCAGGAGCCATTGACGTTCTAATTTTTTTGCACTTGCTGTTATAATTTAGACATTGCCCATTCATCTCCCTCTGGCTTGCTGTTCCTCACCATACCTTCTCAGCCAAGTCTTTTGGAGTCTTCACGCAAAAGATTACCTAACCCACCTCAGTTAGTCTCCCTTTCCCTACTGGGACCATTCTCAGACCGGTCATCAGGGACCTCAGAGTTACCAAATCCAGAGGTCATTTTCAGTTCTTACCTCAACTAACCTGGTGGCACCTCTCTTCTTCCTAAACTTTCTTAATCCCCTAGCTTTCAAGACACAGCCTGCTCCTGCCTCAATCCTGTCCTCTCAACAATTCCCTCTTTGCGCTATATTGGAGGCTGCTCTAGCTCTACCCACTGTTTAAATGTTGGTGTGTCTTCTCTTTCTGTTTGTTTATTAAATATATGACCTCAGATGAGTTACCAAGATTCTGTCTACCTGGGTTTCTTCATAAGTAAACTGGAGATGGTTACATTCCTCCTCTTAGAATTAGATGAGCAAGTCCATAAAATGTGATGAATACAGCACCTGATGTTAAGTCAGCACTCAGTATAGACTAGTTGCTTTTTTTTTAAATTTCTTAATAATTCATTTTGGGGAGAGAGAAACATCAATTTGTTGTTCCACTTATATATGTGTTCATTGATTGCTTCTTGTATTTACCCTGACCACGGCTACAACATTGGTTTGTCAGGATGATACTCTAACCGACTGAGCTACCCAGCCAGAGCAACATTAGTTGCCATTATTATTATTATTATTATTCTTTTTATTTGCTTTGCTATAAATTTCTGTTGACTTTTATGGCTTTTGCTATACTCCACATACCTCCCAAATACATCCATGGCCCAGACGCTCCTCTGACCATAGACCTCTGTTTCTAACTTCTAAGCCCTTGGAGTCCACTTGGTTGTTTCACAGATATCTCAAATTCTCAAAGCCAGAATTTGGCATCCGTCCCCTTAAGCTTCTTTTACCTCCTGTATTCCCAGCCTTAGTGTGTGTTACCTTCATTCGCCTGGATACCAAGTCAGGAATCTACAGGTCATCTTAAATGCCTCCCTTTACTCTATACCTCATGTTCTTTTACACCTGCTAGCATTTCCATGCCTCTCCATCTTTGCTTGGACTTACAAGCGATCCTCAAAAATACATGTTGAGCCCTTACTGATGTGACTCAGTTGGCCGGGCATTGTCCCGCAAAGCAAAAGATCACCATTTCAATTTCTGCAGGGCACATGCCTGCATTGTGGGTTCGGTCCCCATTGGAGTGCATATGAGAGGCAACTGATCGGTGTTTCTTACATCAGTGTGTCTCCTTTTTCTCCCTCCCTTCCCCTGTCTCTAAAATAAATAAATTTTTAAAAATTAAAAGAAATACATGTTAAATGAATACTTGAACAAATAAAAGGACTATTGCAGTAGCCTCTTATTTCCCCTCTTCTAATTTTACCATCCATATATTCTGTCCTCCATCACCAGATTTCAAAAAGGAATATCTAGTATTCTTTCTGCTTAAAATCCTTCAGCAAGACCTTGTTGCTAATAGTTAAGTTTCCTAAAATCTGTTCTTCGGAACACCAATGACTTAGATAAGAAGTGTGTGGTAGTTAAATCATTTTGGGAAATTATATTCTCAATTCTCCATCTCCCCAAAATTGGGGATTCAGAATGCACATTACTATATTAAAGGCCCTGAGAAGTCCTGTAGTAAAGAAGCCAGCTTAACAGAAAACTTTTCAAGCCTGTTTAACTCCGGAGTCTTTTTATTGCAGAAGCCTTTATGCACCTGAGCCAGTAGAACATGCTTGGGAACCCTGTTCTATAGGATAAAGTCTAAATTTTATTCCATGGTGTTCTAAGAAATTGTTTTTAATCTAGAAAAATACAAAGATTAACACAATCACCATCTATATACCCCTGACTAGAAGTGATAATCATTAACAGTTTGCTATAGATAAAGTTGTTAAAAGATAAAATCTCTCTTGGCTCCTGACGCTAATCCTAATCTTTCCTTCCACCCCCAGAGCAAACCACTATCATGGCTATCTTAGCCCTCCTGTGACTCTTTTCAAGTTCTTTTCTACATTCAAGAGTCCTTGTGCCCATCTCCTGGTGTGAAGTGTAAGAACTTCTGCATTTTAAACTCTATTAGATGCTGCAAGATTACATTCAAAGTGGTTGTTCCAGAACGTACACTTCTACTCCAGCCAAGTGCAAAAATGCCCCTTTTTCCCATGTTCTTTCCAGTAGTTAGAGTTGAGCTTTTAAATTTTTGCTCGTGAGAAGTGATGCCTTATAATCCTAATTTGATTTTTCCTAATTACTAGTGAAGTTGCACATCTTTTGTGTGTATTGGCTATTTGGGTTTTCTTTGCCGTGAGTTGTTTACTCCTAAGCTGGGCCCATATTTTCTCTTGCGTCATTTCTCCTTTGCCTTATGGATCAGTAAGGCATTTTCTAACCCAAGGGAAATTACTCTTTGTTCTTTACTTTACAGATACCTTGTCCTAGTCTCTCTCTGTCCTCATTTGTTGTCTTTTGCCAAAAGTTTTTCATTGGTATGTAGTCTGAGCTGAGTCTTGGAGTGTATGGTTTTAATGAATGTCTATAAAACAGCTACTAGGATACTGAGGAGCAACCCCTGCCCTTCCTTTCTCCTCTTTTTTATAGATCCATGTGTCCTACCAGAAGTACTTCAAGCTGGAGCCACTCCAAGCCTACCATCGGGTCATCAGCCTAGAGGACTTCATGGAGAAGCTGGCACCCACCCATTGGCCCCCTGAGAAGCGGGTGGCGTACTGCTTTGAAGTGGCAGCCCAGAGAAGCCCTGACAAGAAGACATGCCCGATGAAGGTAAGTCCTGTGGGTCTGGGGAGCTCTTTCCACCTGTTCCATGGTATCTAGGTCACTGAGACACCGCATGATGGCACTATGTTGGGGAAGGCACCAGAAGGGCGTAAGATAGAAAGATGGAGATTTCAGTCCCATTTCTGGCATTTTTTCAGTGGTATCACTTTGGGTAGAGGACTTTGCTTCGTCTGAACCTTTGTTTCTACCTACAAAATAAAGATGCCACTCCTTGCTCTGTCTCACCCATAAGGTATTACAAGGGCCAGGGTGTAAGAGTGCTTATAAACTGTAAAGTGCCACATTAGTAATAACAAGTAATGCTCACATAGCACTTACTACATACTGTGCCATGCTAAGAGCTTTACACATATTAACCCACTCAATCTTCAAATGCTCTGTGAGGAAAGTACAATTAACATCCCCGTTTTATAGAGAGGTCACTGAGTGCAACAGAGAGAGGTTCAGTATTTTGCCCAAGGTCTCACAGTAAATGCGTGGTGGAGCCACGATTCAGCCCTAAGTAATCTGACTCCATCGTCCACTCTTCTACCTTGTATACTTTCCTGCCTTCAGCAGATAAATGAGAAGCTGTTGTATTTTATCACTACAAATTTGTAAATTTGTAAATTTCTGGCACTTTGGGAATATGGCAGTCTTTGATATATATTTCAGTGCTTAAGCTGAAGTCTGCAGAGTGGTTGGAGGAGCCATGAAATGTGAGAAAGGAGACGGCTTACAGTCCTAACAGTGTTCTCACTTGCTGTATGAGCATGGCAAGTGTCTTACTCCATTTGGCCCTAATTTCCATATGGAAAGTAATGGCATTGGATTAGCTGGTCTTGAAAGTCTCTTGAAGCTCTCTAATCCATGGCCCCATACCCAAGGTCCACTTCCTCCCCAGACCCAAGTCAATGCTACAGGGTCAGTGGGATATGGCATGAGAGAGAGAAAGACTCCTTCATACACTGGTGAACATCTTCTGGAAACCAGGCTGGTGGGGAATTGCCTTCCTCTGGCCCAAGACAAAGACTTACACAGTGGCATTCCTATTCCTACTGGGTCATCCTATGAGGGTGTTTCAGCCTAAGTCAAATCACCAGAGTCCCCTCATCCCCAGCTGCTTGGCCCCATTCCCAGTTGGCTTTCCTTCTCCCTCCTTAAGCCTTTGACCACTCTCTTTCTGCAGGAAGGAAACCCTTTTGGCCCATTTTGGGATCAGTTTCATGTGAGTTTCAACAAGTCAGAGCTCTTTGCAGGCATTTCCTTCAGCGCTTCCTACAAAGACCAGTGGATCCAGAGGTACTTGGAGAGGGGTCAGCATTGCTGGGTTTGGAGAGGGGTATGGGGCCCGTGGACATTCAGCGCCTTCCTGGCTTTTTCCCCATCTGCCACACCCTGATATACGAGACCAAAGGTACGGCTGTTCTGTCTGCTGAACTTGGGATCCTGTGAGATCTGTTCCCATCTTAGCGCCTGACACAGGGGGACATTGACCTGCCACGAGGTTGAGCAAGAGTTTATCAGTCGATAAAGGATGTTATAAAAAGATTATTGTGCAGTCATGAGTGTCGATTTCCTCCTCGAGGCGTGAGAATCACTCCCCTGTTACCTTCCTCTTAGCAAGGTGAAAATTGGAAGCAGCTTCTAGAAAAGAACAACTTTAGGTGCAGACTGAGAAATGATGTCATCCTGATAATTGGATGTGCCTTATTAGTTGTGCTCCAGTCAGCCCTATTTAAAAAAAAAACAAAAAATAGCCCTGCTGGTATGGATCAGTGAATTGAGTGCTAGCCTGTGATCTAAAGGGTCACTGGTTCAATTCCCAGTCAGGGCACATGGATGGGTTGTGGGCCAGGTCTCCAGTTGGGGGCACGCAAGAGACAACCACACACTGATGTTTCTCTCCCTTTCTTTCTCCCTCCTTTCCCCCCCTCTCTAAAATAAAGAAATAAAATCTTTTTTTTAAAAAATAGGTTAGCAGGGCATAGGCACAGGTGGTGAAATATTTATAGAACATCTGTCATGTATGAGACACAGTACTCAAAGACCAGAGGTGATATATAAAAATGAGGACGATCCAGCCTCAGCCTTCAGCTAGCTGCTGTCTGGTTATAGGGATGATAACTTAACATAGTGCACTTGCCCTTAATGCTGTAGATCGCCAAAAAGAATGTGGGCTTAGAAGTAAGGCTTGAGTTAGGAGCAATAAGGAGCTTATGAATTTATACATGGTCGTAGCACTTCGTATTTAGCAGGCCAAGGATAGACTGAGTAGAGAAACAAGCACAGGTTCAGGATAAAACAGGCCTGAGCACCAGCAAGCCCTGCCTCTTTCTCAGGTGACTGAGCAAACCACTCTAGCTAACTGGCCTGGGTTTCCTCCTTGGTTTAATGGAGGATGATGGTCTCTGCCTTCTGGTGTATAAAGCACATGGCACATTGTAGGGGTCCAACCAGTGTTAGCTATTACTGTTATTCTCACGCTTTATTTCATTTAAGACTTCAAGAAATTTCATGTAGTGGGTATTGTCAGTTTCCACTTGACAGGTGAGAAAACTGAGGCCAATGAAGTTAAATAACTTGCCCAAGGTAATGCAGATATTGAGTGGACAGCTGGAGTCTGTATGTAAGCCTTTAGTAGACAATAACTATATTTAGTGCCTACTATATGCCATACACTGTGCTGTCTTTTAAGGTAATAACTCATTTAATCCTTCCACAAGTTTCAGGGGACAGGTGTTATTGTCATGTGCTTTACAGTTAAGGAAATTGAAGAAGAGAGTAGTAAGGTCACTTGCCCAAGATCACACAGCCTGAAGTGCAGTCTGGGATTTGAACCCAGGCAGCCTGACTCCAGAGCAGCCCCATACTTAAGTCACTGCAGAAAACAGCTGTGCCTTTAACAGCTGCCAATTCCTATTTGAGACTTGCCTTCAGAGCTAGTTCATGAGCTACTGAGTATATTCAGTCATGGCAGATTCTAATCCCCCACATTGTTGATTCCAAACAGGGCAGTCCCATTTAATCGCCTTTGTGGTTCTCCCTACTCAATTCTTAATCACCTGGAGCTATTACCCGAAGGCAGACCTGCCCTGAATGGATAGAGATTTGCCCCTTACCACAAAATGCCAGAAAAAAGAAAGAAAGAAAAATGACACCACTCTAAAAGCAGCTCCAAAAGCAAATTCCAGAAAGCCAGGAAAAGCACATGATGCTGTTGGAAAAGAAAGAACAGTGCTGCTGGGATGTTGCTGAAACACCTTTTTATTACCCCACCGTCTTTTTGAAATTCACTGAGTTGTAGGAATTGTGTAAGGGCTTGGGGAAGCTTGTGCCTTAACAGCCAAGTCTTTAGGAAAGGAAAGCTAATAGAGAAGATGTGGTCTCTGGAGGCAATTTGAGAGAGTTAGGGTCAGCTGGGAAGCTGCCTTCCTTTATGCTTTCATTCCACACGAATTTAAGAAGCACCTCCTGTGTGTCAAGCACTGGTCTGGATGCTGGGCATACAGGCAAGAATAAGGCATTTAAGGCCCTTGTCCTGATGGAGGTGAGTCTAATGGGGGAGACAGTGAATGCTTTTCCATAAGACGAACGGATAATGTGTGATTGGCAGGGCTGAGACCTTGTCTTTGTCAGCTTGGTTTGCTCTAGCAAAAGACCACAGACTGGGAGGCTTAAACAACAGACATTTATTTCTCACAGTTCTGGAGGCTGGGTATTCTAAGATCAGAGTGCCAAATGGTAGGATTCTGGTGAGGACCTTTTGGTTTGCAGACACTGCCTTCTTGATGTATCCAAACATGTTGGAGAGAGAACGAGCTCTCTGGTCTGTTATAAGGGCACAGTTCCCATCGTAAGGACTCCACCCTCATGACCTCATCTAAACCTACCCACCTCCCAAAGGCCCCACCTCCAAATGCTAACACATTGGGGATTGAGGCTTCAACGTAGGAATTTAGAGGGGACGCAAACATTCAATCTGTAACAGACCTGAAGGATGGGGACCTAGCCAAGCAAAGAGATGGAGGAAAAGGAAGTTTTTCATGGTGGGGACAGGGATAGCAGAGGCTCTGAGGCAGGAATAAGCGTGGTGTGGTTAAGGGATAGGAAGAAGGCCGGTGTGGCCGGTGTGGAGTGTATGAGGAGGAGAATGGTAGGATGTCTCCATTGTCTGTTGCTGCATAATAAAGCACTCTTGAACTCGGTGCTCGACAACAGTTTATTATTTCTCAGACTTCTGTGGGTTGACTAGGCTTAGCCAGGCAGTTCTTTTTTTTGTTTGTTTTGTTTTTCCATTTTATTTATGCAATCCCAACTGCACAAAGTTTCAGTCCATATTAAACATCTAATTTCTTGGAATGAATACCTGTTAAAATGCCCACCACAGGTTTGGTGTGGGAGATTGCTTTTAAAAATAAAGAAGAAAATGAAATTTACTCATAATCCTATCACTCCTCCAAAAAACACTACTAGCATTTTGATGTATATACTTCCACCCTGCAGACATCTTCATGAACATACATGTACCTACACATACTAACTTGAAATTATTATACATAGTTTGTAATCAAATGTGTTTTCTAAGGAGCAATTAATATTAAGTTACCTGGATAGTAAATATTACAGGCAAGATCAGTTTTAAACGTATAAAAACATGGGATTTCAAAAAATGGGGTCCTGGCCAGCCAGTTCAGTTGGTTGGAATGTCATCCCTACACCAAAAAGTTTGCGGGTTCAATTCCCACCCAGTCAGGGCATATACATAAGTTGTGGGTTCAGTCCCCAGTCAGGGCATGTGCAGGAGGCAAGTGATCAACGTTTCTCTGTCACATCAATGTTTCTCTCTGTCTCCCTCCTAAAATCAGTGAACATATCCTCAGGTAAGGATTAAAAAAAAAAAAAAAAAATGGTACCAGTATACATATATACCAATGGAGTGTATGTATTTATTTATTTAAATTTTTTAAGTGTACAGTTCAGTGGCATTAAGTATATTCAGTCTTGTACAACCATTGCTGCTATACATCTCCAGAACTTTTTCACCATCCCAACAGAAATTCAACCCATTAAACGATAACTCGCCATTCTTCCCCAGCCCCCATAGCCTCTATTCTAGTTTTCTGCCTCTATGAATTTGCATATTCTGGGTCCCTCATGTAAGTGGAATCATATATTTGTCCTTTGTGTCTCGCCTATTTAGTTAGCATAGCATCTTCAGAGTTCACCCAGGTTGTAGCATACATCAGAATTTTAGTCCTTTTGAGTCCATTGTATATATAGACCACATTTTATTTATCATTCATCTATTAGTGGGCACTTGGGTTAGCTGGGCTCTTCTTGCTTATGGTCTCATGTGTCTATAGTCAGCTATCAGTTGGGGCTAGCATCATCTGAAGGCTCGACTGGGTTGCATGTCCAAGAGGGCTCACTTGTGGCTGTTGTCTGGGAGCTCAGCTGGGGCAGTGGGGCAGTGGCAGGCATACACTTGATCTCTCCATGTAACTTGGACTCTGACAAGATTCGGGTTCTGAGAGGGTCCATCCAAGGCGTGAGTGTTCTGAGAGACAAAAGGTGGAAGCTGCTGGCCCCCTAAAGGCTGGGCCTTCAGCCAGGGCAGTGTCGCTCCTGCCAAACGCTGCTGGGAGGGGGCATGGAGCCCACCCAGAGGGAAGAGATTTAAGAATTACTGTGCCAAGCAATCCAGTAGGAAACCTGTGAGTGCTTTTTAGGGTATATGGATTTTCAACATCTTCTAAACTAGTGGACACTGGTGTGCTGTAGAAAATTGTCCTTGCGGGGCAAGGATATGGGTACAGGGAGAGTAGCATTGGAAGGTGTCAGGCTTTTCCCCGGCTCACTGTAACTCAGCAGACTGCTTTCCTTCTCCGGTTGCAGTGCCCCATCTGTAAAATGAAGGGTGAGCAAGGTCACTGGTTTTCAAACTGTTCCATAGAATTCTTGAGAAGCGCCTATAATGCCATGGGGGCGGCCATGGGGAGCCAAGTGTTCTGTTCTCTTCCCCCACCTCCTCCAGCCAGTGACCCTCTTGTGTATTACCCAAAGGTTTGGATGGCCACTGGTCTAGGTTTTTCAGGCTTCACTTAGGCTATACTTAACAGAAAACCCAAACTAATGGCAAGTTAAAAAGACAGAAGTTTATTATTTTCTTCAGTAAAAAAGTCCTGGGGTATGCAACCCTGGCTGGGTGGCAGCTCCATTGTGTCATCAGGAATCAGGCTCCCGTCTCTCTGCTCAGCCAGCCCAATACTGGCTTTTATCCTTAGTGTCACCTCATAGGCTAAGCTTCAGCCATCACATCCTTGCCCCAGTCAACTAGGACAAAATGGGCACAAGAAGGGCACATCCTCACCTTAAGTAGCCTTCTTATAGCTTGCTTACAACTCATTGGCTGGTACTTAGGCACATGGCCATACCTAACTACAAGAAGTACTGAGAAATGCCTTTATCTTGGGCTGCTGTGTGTCTAGCTGAAAGTTAGGTTCTAGGAGAAGAGGATAAGAGGTGTTTCTTTCCCACTAACTGATTTCTCAGAATCCTTCCAGCTCTGCTGGTTCTGAGATGGCAAATACTCTGGTATAGATTTAATACCACAGACATTTATTGCACATTTACTGTTGGAAGGCTATGTTCCATCAAGCCGGATCATTCTGGTGGCATGAAAATAACAGGTATTTGAGCACATAGCTTATCATCCTCCCCGGCTGCAGCCTCCCTGAGAGACCATAACCAGATGATATGTAATTAGCAGGGGCTGAGACCTGAAAAATGAGAAGGAGCCAGCTATCTAAAGAGCTGGAAGAAAAGGTCGTTCTTCATAGCAGGGACATCGAGAGCAAAGCTCTGCCTCACTTGTATCCCTGCATCCTCTACTCAGCATGATGAACATCTGTTGGTTTATGGGCACAAAAGTGGATGATGTGCATAGGGAAACCCCAGCTTGTTGGGGCTTCTCAGTAGAATAAGTGTAGTGGTGAAGAACCCCAGAGGTTCAGTGCACCCAGCAGCAGAAAAGCGAACCTCTTTAGCTGCACAGTGAACCAGGCTAGGGCCCTGACTTGGGGTGAGCCGTTGGGGCAGATGGAGTGGTCAGCCTTTCTTTCCAGATAACACTCTCCTCCCTCACAGGCAGCAAATGAGCACCTCCCCCTTGGCCCCTCGCCACTTGTCAGGATCAGAAGTGACATCCCACTGGAACAGCTGGGAGCTGATGGGATGTTGAAGGGATGGACATTCCAAATCTGGAATTCACCAAGGGTCAGCAGCAGGGTCTTTCCAAGGGGACAAGCAGGGTGCAGGTCCTGATTTTAGCTTAACGTCCCAGCCCTCTGGGAGATCACAATCTTTTTCTTTCCTTTTGAAATCCTTTGAGGTGGCATCTGAAAGGAACTTAGCTGAGGGCCTGGCCCGAAGTAGGTGCTCAGTTAATATCCACCTCTTTCTCTAACCCCTGACAACCTGATCTGGTCCTTCTGGTGAGGTCCCTGAATCCTTCTCATTCATTCGTCCATTCATTTATTCTAAAAATGTTTATTGTACCTACTGGGTGTTGAGGCCTGTGCTAGGGGCTGGGAATCAAAAGAAAAGAATATACCGCAGATTCAGCTTTTGAGGTGCTTGTTGAGTTGAGATGGGAGAGTTGGGAGTGAAGTATTTAAGATATAGATTCTGGCCCCGGTTGGTGTGACACAGTTGCTTGGAACTTCTTCCTGTAACTGAAAGGTAATTGGTTTGATTCCCAGTCAGAACACACACCTAAATGATGGGTTCAATCCCTGGTCCAGGCATAGGCACATGCGGCTCCCCACCCAGTCCAGGCGCATACAGGAGGCGTCCAATCAATACTTCTCTCTCATATCAATGTTTTTCTCTCTCCCTGTCTTTCTAAAAGCAATGAAAAAATGTCCTTGGGAGAGGATTTTAAAAAAAAGTATAGGTTCTAGAGCAGACTGCCTGCATTTAAATTCCAGCTCCGACAATTCCAGCTGTGTGACCATGGGCATGTTACTTAACCATTCTGTGCCTCAATTTCCTCATCTGTAAAATAAGACTACTACAGGGCTCATAGGAGAATCAAATGAATTAATATACACAAAGCAATTAGAACATTGTCACATAGTAAGGCTTGATAAATAATTCACATGTATGTGTGGTTTCCAGATGCAATGGTTTGACTTAGGAGTTTTTGACTTTGCAGTGGTGTGAAAATGATATGCATAATAAATTACATGAGCTGTTCAACACTTTGTTATAAAATAGGCTTTGTGTTAGGTGTTTTTACCCAACTGTAAGCTAATGTAAGTGTTCTGAGCATATTTAAGGCAAGCTAGGCTAAGCTATGATATTCATTAGGTTAGGTATATTAAATGCATTTTCAACATAGCATTTTCAACTTAGAGTGGGTTTATTGGGACATAACCCCATGCTAAGTCAAGGAGCATCCGTACACATAAAACTAAATTCTGACAAGACGTGTGTTACATAGAGCCAGGCTGTCAGTGAATACTTGCATGTTAATTCCTTAGCCCTGGCCCTGGACCAGGGTGTGTGGGAATCGTGGTGAACAAGACTGTTTGGGCCCCTACCCTCAAGGGCTGACAGTGGAGCAGGTAAAACAGTTGCTGAGCACATCAGTGTGCAGAAGGCAGCAGAGGAGAAGAGGGGACAGGGAGCCCTCCTGAGGAGTGGAAGCTTGGGAGTGGCTAAAAGTCTTGGAGGTCTTGAAGGTTTGGAAGGTATTTGTGGAATGAGATGTTCGGGTTGGGCGTGAAGAAAGTGGCATTTTCATTGCAGCACTATCCAGCAGGAGGGGACTAGATGGGTACATCACAGTTTATTTGTGCAAAATAGAACACTTAAAGAGAAGCTAATAGGATCACATGATCCACGTGATCGATAAGACCAAATCTCTAAAACATAAAGTTGAATTTTGAAAAAATTGAAATAGGTTACCTGCAACCTGGTGATGTGATGGTGATGATGACAATGATAGTGATAGTCAGAATTTTCTTGGAGTTTTCTACGTACTATTTCTATGTACTAAATACTGTTCTAAATGCTTTGCTTGTGTTCATTTAATCTTCCCAACAGCCCTATGAGGTAGGAACTGTTATTAGCTCTGTTATGGAGGTGAGGAAACAGGCATAGAATGGTTAAGTCACCTGCCCAAGTTCATAAGTGGCAGAGTCAGCATTCTAGAACAAGGTCATCTGGCTCAACAGCCCGTGCTTTTACCATTACACTGTGTAAAAAGCACACAATATAATACCTTTTTATATCAATAGTAGAAGTGTAATCATGCATAAAGTTTCAATATCTTCTGGGCAGAGTAAGAAGGAAAAGAGATGATAGGATAGAGCTTTTATTTAGGTGTATATATTGTTTTTAATCTGAAGCAAAATATTAATAGCCGCTAATTTGAGTCCCAGGTATGTGGATTGTATTTTGTATTTTCCTGTATTGTTTTAAATATTTTATAATTTTTAACTGAAATTTTTATTGAGGTAATTGTAGATTCACGTGTAGTAATAAGAAATAATATAGAGGGATCTCACATACCCTTTGCCCAGTTTCTTCCAGTGGTAATATTTTGCAGAAGTGTAACATAGTATTAATGATCAGAATGTTGACATTGATACAATCTACCCATCTTATTCCGATTTCTCCAGTTTTACAAGTACTCACTTCTATATGTGTGTATGTGTGTATGTGTGTGTATTTAGTTCTATTCAATTTTGTCGCATGTGTAGGTTCGTGTATCTACCACCACAAACAAGATATCAAATAGTTCTAACACTAAAAGACCCTGTGTGGTCAGTTTATAACCACTCCCACCTCCTTAAATGCACACCCCCCCACACACACACTCCTAGTCCCTGGTAACCACTAACCTGATCTTTATTTCTGTTCTTTTCTCCATTTTGACATTTCAAAAATGTTCTATAAATGGAGTCATACAGTATGTAATCTTTTAGGATTGGCTTTTTTCACTCAGCATAATTCCATTGAGATCCATCCAAGTTGCTGCCTGAATCAGTAATTTGTTTCTTTTCATAACTGTAGAGTTCCCTTGGTTGGATGTACCACAGTGTTCATTCACTGGTTGAATAACATCTAAGTTTTTGGCTTTTATGAATAAAGCTGCTGTGAACATTCATCTGCTGGTTCCTGTGTGAACATAGGTTTTCATTTCTGAGTGAAATGGTAGTTACATGTCTAGTTTTATAAGAAACTACCAAAACGTTTTCCAGGGTACTATGCCTATTTCATAATTTTAAGAACAGGATTTGGCTGGCAAAGGAAGACATTACAGGTAGAGGGAAGATGTCTGCAAAGAGCTGGCATTTGAAGGTTCATGGGACAGGAGGGTGTTTCGTGTGGCTGGGATAGGCTCTGGGCTTAGCTCAAGATGGAACACAGGTTCGATCCTCATCCATTCCATCAGCAAACCTTTACTGAGCTCTTACATGTGTCAGATACTGTTCTGAGCACATGGAGGCACTGCCATCAGAAGCATGAGTCTAGCAGAAAAGACAGGGGTGAAATAATTGCAAGGTGCATAGTGTACAGGAGGGAGAACAGCCTTGGAGGGAGGTCTCATGGTGGACACCTGTAGAACTCTTGCTTACCATGAGTGGAGCAGCTATGCCTGTCTCATTCTCCCCTGGGTTCCAGCACCTAGTAGGCAACCAGTAAATATGCGTGAAGTGTTGAGTGGATGAGCGTAGGCAGTGTACGTATTCCCTGTGAGTGCAGTCTGTCCTTTACCTTCTGGAAGCAGCTGCACGTCCCAGTCCCACCGTGTGGGTAAAAGGGCAAGGCTCTGTCCAGACACCACACCCTGGAGTGAATTACCACTCCACAGATTGGAAGCCAGCTCTACTAGAAATTTTTAATTGTTAAACAAGCAGAGAAGGTTGTAAATTCCAGGCGGCGGGATAATATTGCATATTGTGCCTGTTTGCCGCCACGGCGGTTTCTTATCAGCCCTTTGGGGTTTCACAACCTCTCGTGCTTCTTGCATGTTACAGGGCCCCTCCCTCTGCGGAGTCTCTAGGACATGGTGCAACACCATCTTTTTTCCCGTGGGAGTGGTAGCCAGGCTCTCTGCGCATTCTCCATCTGACTCCCTCCTACCCCATTCTGTCTTATGTCTAGATTTTCTCCAAAGGAGCATCCTGTGCTGGCCCTGCCAGGGGCCCCAGCCCAGTTCCCCGTCCTGGAGGAGCATAGGCCACTGCAGAAGTACATGGTATGGTCAGACGAGATGGTGAGGACAGGAGAGGCCCAGATCCATGCCCACCTCAGCCGGCCCTACGTTGGTGTTCACCTGCGCATTGGCTCTGACTGGGTAACTTCCTCCTTTCTTTCCTGGCTGGGTTGGACATATTCCTGAACAGGGCCCATGCCTGTGGGGGTTGAACAGTGAACCCATTGCACCAAGTCCCAGCCAGGCCAGAGAGTTCTTGCTCAGCCAAGTCCATGGAGTCCCCGTATAAGAATCCCCACTGTGTATCATGATCCCACAATAGACACATCAAATATGTGGCTCCAAAGTGCTTGCTTGCCAACTCTTATTTTAACAGTTGCCTTTTTTATCTTCATCTTGCAAATGGATAAACTGAGGTATCAAGCTAGATTCCAGATCAGGCAGCAAGCCAGAGAGCTCAGAGCCGCAGCCCAGGAGCCCTTTGTCCCAGCTCAGTGTTTAGTCAATAGACTAATTGCTGAAAAACAAGTTCTGGAGATTGGGTGGGGCTCCCAAGAAAGGAAGATGTCATCCTCTAAATTTGGAGTCCACTTAAATGTGCAGAAACCTCATCGGATTATCCTCTGTGTGAAAGTAACTGGAGCAATATAGACAGTCTCCTTAATTTATGTAAGATAAATAGAGTGTATGTATATTAGAAATGCTTGTTGTTAAAGACTTGAAAATATATAGAATTTAGCCCTGGCTGGTGTGGCTCAGTAGATTGAGCAGCAGCCTGCAAACCAAAGGGTCTTTGGATCAATTCCCAGTCGGGGCACATGCCTGGGTGGCGGGCCAGGTCCTCAGTAGGGGGTGGGCGGGAGGCAACCACACACTGTTGTTTCTCTCCCTTTCTCCCTTGCTTCTCCTCTGTCTAAAAATAAATCTTAAGAAAGGAAATATATAGAATTTAGATCAAGATTCATTCAGAGTCAATTGAGAAAGTAATGACACACTTACCCACTAGACTCCCTTCCAGTACCTATTCCACAAAGAAAAGGAGCCAGGCTCAGAATGTGTTATGAGGGGTTTCAGCCAAACCTTCAAGGATCAGATAGTTCTCATCTGTACTTTGTTAAAACATAAAGAGATATAAGATGCTATTTTTTATAAAGCTAGCATAACACTAATACCAAACTCAGATAAGGTCAACTCAGAAATGTATATAGCCCACTCTAACTTATGAACATAGATGGACAGATCCTAAGTAAGACCTTAGCAAGTAAACCCATATTAAAGAACATACAACACAAACAAGTAAAATTTATTTCAGGAATGCAATGAAATTGTATTACCTATATTAACACCCAAAGAAGAAAAATCATATAATCATCTCAATACAGGCCAAGAAAGCATTTGGGAAAAATCGACACCCATTTATGATTTAAAAAAAAAACTCTTAACCAAGCAGGAATAGAAGGGAACCACCTTAACTTGATAAAGGCTATCTCTCTGAAACCCACAGCAAACATGTACTTCATGGGAACTATCAGAAGTGTTCCCACTGAAGTCAGAAATCAGATAAGGCTGCCCATTATGACTACCACGGTTCAGAATTCTACTGGAAGTCCCAGATAATGCAGTAAAACCAGTTAAAAAAAGAAAAAAAAAACTGTAAAAAGCCAATATCCCACTACCAAAAAATAAACACTTTTACTGTTTTGATCCATTTCCCTCTTCCCTCAATACGTTTAAAAAAAAATTTTTTTGAGCTCCTCCCATATTGCCTGCCTTTTCCCACTTACCGGCTCCAGCTTCTGGGGTTCCAGGCCAGTTGCTGTCTTTAACTCTGTGCCCCCACGCTGCCCCGTAGAAGAACGCCTGTGCCATGCTCAAGGACGGGACTGCGGGCTCCCACTTCATGGCCTCTCCGCAGTGTGTGGGCTACAGCCGCGGCACAGCTGCCCCTCTCACCATGACTATGTGCCTCCCGGACCTGAAGGAAATCAAGCGGGCCATAAAGCTCTGGGTGAGGGCGCTCAGCGCCCAGTCTGTCTACATCGCCACGGATTCTGAGAGTTATGTGCCTGAGATCCAACAGCTCCTCAAAGGGAAGGTATGTGTGGGCGCTGTGGGAGTGCGGCGGGAAGGGAATCTGGGAAAGCGCCAGGGTCTTCCCGCCGCTCCCGCTATGTGCTTCATGTGCTCCGGCCACCAGGCTTCTGCTTAGATGTTCAATTCTTCTCCAGTTCCTACCCTTTTTTCCAACACCAGCTCACACACCTCTGCAGATTCTCTCCAGCTTTCCCTCTTCTCCTGCAGCAAATGCATTCCAACTGGGGGCTGTCACAGAACTTTTATCACGTCTTCCCTGAAGTTCTTTCTAAACTGTGTGAGACTCATGTGGAAACACGTCTAATTTCTTGCCAGGAATGATGGCTCCTTAAAGGCAGGTCCCAAGACTGACTCACTGTCCTACTCATTGGTGTCTAGCTAGGTGCTTTGACATCCCCCAGGCCTGAGACCCCGCCTTGCCATCACCAGTGTCTAGGACAGAGCATAACACATGTGGACAGCCCATAAGTGTTTGCTGAATAAGCATGTAAAGAGTGGGCCCCTGAGATCCAATGTAGTGGTGGGGTCAAGAGCATGGACTCTGGAGCCAGAGAACTTGGGCTTTACTCACTGTGCAGCCGTACACGAGTCACTGCCTTTCTGTACTTCTGTTTCCTTGTCTATAAATTGGGACCGAGAGTGATACCCATCTCATTGGGTGATTGTGAAGGTAAAATATAAAGAAACTAAAGCTGTCTGGTACAAATAAGTGCTCAGTAAAGTTAGCTGTCATTGATAGTAGAAGTTGGTGGTTGAGGAATAAAGGGAAGGTCTTTCGTGCTTAATTAATGCTTAAGGAAGTCATGAATAGTAAGCATTCAGTATGTGAATAAGCAGTAGAATGTGCTTGGTACTGTATGCGTGAAGAGCATGTATAGATAAAATGACTGAATTAGTAGTAAGCATTCAATGAGACTTTGTTGAATGAATGAAAGACCTAAATGTTTGTGCAGACCTTAAAAGGCAGTGAGTGTCCTCACTTTCTAGCAGTGAGGGAGGGGCTCCCTTTCACCCCAGACACAGGCTTGTGAAGAAAGTGCTGAGACCCAACTGGTGTGGCTCAGGGGATTGAGTGCTGGCCTGAGAACCAAAGGGTCGCTGGTTCAATTCCCAGTCAGGGCACATGCCTGGGTTGGGGGCCAGGTTCCCAGTGGGGGACGTGTGAAAGGCGACCACACATTGATGTTTCTCTCCCTCTCTTTCTCCTTACCTGCCCCCCTCTAAAAATAAATAAATAAAACCCTTTAAAAAAATTAATTAAAAAAAGAAAGTGCTGAGTCAGTGTACTCTGGTCTCCCACCTACCAACTTCTAGGAGAATATCAGAGCTGGGAGACCTCGAAGCATATAACCCAATCCCTGCATTTTATCACTGAGGATACCAAAGTCCCAAGAAGGGATAGAATTTACCCAAGAGGTTGCAGAGCTAATTATAGTGGGCATTACACAGAATGGGTAAGTTTCAAGGAGTGGGTGAAATCGTTCAGGGGCTTTTAGCCATGATTAAACTCATATTATTTCTTTACTACCATCCAAATAGCAAGATGATGATTTTTTGTTACATCAGAAATCTCTATGTGACAGCAAAGCACTTTCCATCCCAGCTCTGCCCACACCACCACTTAGGTACTAAGTTGAAGCATGTGGAGAGCCCCAGGGAGTTTTTTGTGAGTTTTTAGAGTTGATGTACTTGTTATGCCTTGAGCCTCTTGCCATTTTCTGTTTCCTGTTTCTGCACCACTGTTCTTGCCCTTCCCTACTCCATGGGCTCAGAGCCCCCCACCTCCTCAGCCAAGCCTTTCTTCTCCGTTAAGCCTGGCCAGTGCTAAACTTGGGATACTGATAAATAAGAGGTGGTACTGTCCTCCAGGGCTCTCAGTCTAGACTCAAGAAAAGAAACTTTGCAGAGAACTGTAATACATACCATAGGGTGGGGGTGGGGAGCTCATTCATTCACTTGCCCAGTCAACAGATGTTTCTTGAGGCAGGCTCCAGCCAGCAGTAACAAGCAAACTGACACAGCCCACCCCTTGTCAGGTGCAAGAGACTGACATTAATCAGAGGATCCCTAAGGAGTAAGAACTGCAAACTGAGATATGTGCTCTGAAGTAAAGGAATGTGGTTCTGTGGGAGTGCAGAACAGAGGACCTGGCCTAGACAGGGGGGTCAGGGAGGCCTTCCCCAAGGAGGTGAGACCTAACTGCAGCATGAAGTAGGCGTTAACCAGGCAAAAGGACAAGCACCCCAAATCGGAACAAGAGCATATGCAAAGGTCCTGAGGAAGGTGGGAGCCTGGTGTGTAGTGGCTGGAGGTATGAGAAGAGGTGGCCTGAACAGGGCTTTATAGGCCACAATCAAGATTTGTCATGTTTATCTGAAGAGCAACAGGGCACCATTTAAGGGTATTCAGTTTGGGATGGAGAGAGTGATAGATTAGAGGGATTTAAAAAGGTTTTCTCTGGCTTCTCTGTGGTAAGCAGGCCAGGAAGAGAGGTGGTGAAGAGACCAGTGAAGAGATAAGAGAGGATGGTGGCTGACCCAGAAGTGGTCATCCATCAAGGGAAGGGTTCACCTTTGGAGAATATCTTGGATAATAGATTGGACAGGATGTTAGGCTCGGAGGCATAAGGCAGCAGAACTGGATGGGCGGAGCGCTCGTTGGTCAGATCACAGCTTGGTGGGCGAAACCAAGCCACGGGCAGGCTAGGGCTTCGTGAGAAAGGCAGAACTTGAGCTGAGACTTGAAGGGTATGGTGGGGATTTTAAAGGGTAGTTAAAAGGTATTCCAGGCAGATGAAACTTACAAGTGGAGGCAAGTGAATGTTGTGTGTTTGGAGCTGCTGTTGGCAGTGGGGAAAGAGCACTGAGGCTGGAGTTCTATGTGGGGGTGGGCCGAGGCGGCTGCTGGGCTTCTCTCAGAGGCTGGCCCTACCTCTTAAACCTCTCTGCACCTCCTCTTGGGTCTGTAACTTCGGTACAGAGGGAGAATGCTGGGAATACGGCTGCAGGCCTTGGCTGAGCTGGCCACCTTGGCCTGCGCCCAGGGTAAAATACCCTGCCCTTTCTCCTGCAGGTGAAGGTGGTGAGCCTGAAGCCTGAGGTGGCCCAGATCGACCTGTACATCCTTGGCCAAGCCGACCACTTTATTGGCAACTGTGTCTCCTCCTTCACCGCGTTCGTGAAACGAGAACGAGACCTCCAGGGTAGGCCGTCCTCTTTCTTTGGCATGGACAGGCCCCCGCAGCTGCGGGACGAGTTCTGACCCTGGCTGGAGCGCATCGCCAGTCCCCGCCGCTCCCTCCAGCCAGCCTGGCAGCCAGAGCACCTCCCAGGATTGATCCCCAAAAGGGCAAGCTTCTCTTTTCGGCTGCCAAGGACAGAAAAAAGTACCCAGGACTTCCTGAAGGAGGAAGATGGTCCAACTTCCAGGGTACAGGACTTCCAAGCTCTTAGGGGCCAGACCATCTCCCCTGCTTCTGTGCTTCCTGGCTGTTTCTCCTGGGAGTTTCTCATACCAGCAAAGCGGTCTGTCCACTGTGTTTTGGTCTACCCTGCACTGAGCAGTCTGGGATGCTGACTTCTCTTCAAAGAGATTATATATACACCAAGAGGGAGATTTTTATAGTTTTTGTACAAAGTCATGACTAACCTAGAACTCTCCTTCATTTTAAGAAAATCGGAGTTCATTAACATAGGTACCTAAAGTGACCTTAACTGAATGTAGATGAGGCCAGGGGTGGGACAGGGGTGTTTACCACTTCTCCGTATGACCTCCAGACTCATCCCCACTGCCTGGCCAGAGCCACTGTGGACCCCAGCTCTTGGTCCCTTTTCAGGGTTTGAGGCATGAACACTGTCCTTCATTGTAAACACTATGCAAATAGAAGGTCTCCGTCATGGTGCCCTACAGAGCTCCACAGACGGCCTAGTGCTGCTCACACAGCACACTCCCTGCAAGGAGCACATGCCGTCAAGCCAGACTGTCACGGCCCTGGTCTTAGAACCTCTTGGTAGTTGGTGGGCTACCACTAACCTGGCACCATCAGGATCTTAGAACACATCACCAGGGGCCAGGGCTCACTGGCCTGACGGGATCCTTCCGAAGGCTGCCGCCTCCTCTTCTGATCTCTTGTCTCAGGGGCCCGGTTGTAGAATTTTTCCATTAAGTTGGTATCCATGGCCTGTCCTCCCAGCCTTTCGCCTGCAGCTGGAGCCCTCAGACTATATTCTCACAAGGGAGTATTTGCTAAGCCTCTGACCAGACAAGATGCCTCAGACCAGGAGTCACTGGAGTCCCAGTTTGGAAGGAACTTTTGCCCCTTTCTATCCAGTGTAATCTCTGATCCCATGAGGTTTACTCGTTTCTTTTTCTCTCAGATGCTGTGGTTGTAATAATCCATGACTCCTGTGAGTCTGACTTTTTGGCGTTGTGGCTCTAATTTTCAAGTCTAACACCTGCTCATTTCTCGCAATGACGTGACTTCTCTTGGTCTTCGATCCCAGGCAGGTGGAGGAGACTGTCGTGAGAGCCAGGCCCAGGGCTTCAGTCAGGGACTCTTTCCTTGGGTCACATTTGAGAAGAGCACTTTTTTCATCAGGGCAGGCCAGGGCAGAGGTTGTGAAGCGGCCACGGTGTCAAACACCAGAGGTGACATTTATTGCTTAGAGCTGCTGCCCAACTCTAAGCAGGAAGAACTGAAGAGAAAAGGCTTTTACATTTTCCCTCTTGGGGAAACAGTGAAATGTTTTACGTCCTAAGTGGACTCTGAGAGATGGTTTATCTATTCAGACTTGCCCACTAGCCTTATTCAGAGACACGGAGCCTGTGTGCCCGTGCCTCCGTTAGCTGCTTAGGAAAGTGTAGCTCACTGGCTGATTTCCTTTGCTGGATTCATTTGCCCATCACAGCTACGCATTAGGCACATGCGTTAGAGCCTGGGCTCTAAGGGGCCTTCCAGATCATGCTGATTAGCATCAGCTGTAATAATAGCTGTTTCCGGGGGAGAGGGCACCAGAGTTGTAGTCAGATTCAGTGTGTTCTGTACACAAGCATGTTATTCCTCTTTGACCCAGTTCTCTCACCTATAAAATGGTGATAAAAGTGGCTGGGTTGTTGAAGGGCTCAAATCAGATAAAGCATGTAAAGGAGCACATTGTAAACTTGAAAGAGACAAAGGCACCTTGGTGACGGTTGATTATTTTGACTGCTTCTTGCCACACACCTACTCTGCAGGCGCTGTGCTTGTTCGGTGATTTATGGGCAGGTTCTGATTTAGTCCTCCCCTGGACCCAGCCCGGCCCTGGGAAGTAGAAACTACTGTTATTATCCTCTTCCTGCACAAGGCAAAACTAATTACCAGAAAGTCCTCCGTTTTCCCAAGGCCACACAGCTGGTGGCAGTAAGCCAGCATCTGACCTCCCAAAGCCAGTGCTGGCAGCCACCATGCTCTGCTGCCCACAGTTCACAGCACACCCTTTACTCCCAGGGGCCTCTGCTGTGGGTTGGCTGCTGCCAGGAGGGTTCGGGGAGGGGGAGATCGCCCAAAAAACAGGCAGCCACGTGAAGCTCATAGTCCCCTTGGCTAGTTATTCCACATCCTTTCAGTAACAGGTATTTATTGATCAACTACTATGTGCCAGGCTCTGTGCTAGGTACTAGGGTTTCAGCAGGGAATCAGATACAAAAGTCTTTGTTCTCAAGGAATTTGCATTCTAGTAAGTGGGCAGCACAGTAAGGAAGTGTACTGTGGGGGTTGCTGACTAAGTGCTGTGAAGGAAAATAAAGGGCATGAGGGTGACGAGGGGGAGCAGTGCTGTGTTAGGTACAGAGCGCAGCTAAGGCCTCTGAAGCCGGGGGCAGCGGTGGAGGCGGGGGGGCGGGGGCGGGGGGGGGGGGGGGAGGCCCTGCCTCCAACACCTGGAGGCAGCGCACTCCCAGCAGCAAACAGAAGAAACGGCAAGTACATGGGCTCTGAGGCTGAAGTGGGTGAGTGAAGAATAGCAAGGAGGCCCATGTGGCCGCAGTGGCAGAAGGGAAACAAGCAACAGGACAGGAGGGTTCGCTCGTCCTGCAGCCTGGAGGGCAGCGGCAAGGTGAGGCTTGGCTTTTATTTGGAAATACATGGAAAACCTTTGTAGGGTCTGAGCAGAGGAGGAGCATGGTCTGGTTTCTGTTTTTGAAAGACCTCTTTGCCACATAGAGAAGCAGAGGGAGGAGGACGAGTGGAAGCGGGGAGAAAGCGGGGCTGTTGCAAAAATACAGGAGAGAAAGACAGACGATGGGTCGGGCAAAGGTCGCTGCACTGAAGGTGGTAGGAAGTGGTCAGATTCTGGATATATAAAATAATTTTTAAATTTCAACCTCTTTTTTTTAAAGATTTAAAGTCCATAGTTTTAATCATGCAGTATATACAATGTAATGTCCTTTCACTTGATTGTATTTCATATTCTCCATGTTGTTACATGGCCTGAATAAACATTTTTAATGATATAAAATTCCATTGAAGGGGTGTCCCATTGTTTATTATTGTCCTATTATGAGAATCTAGTATGTTCCCAATTTTTTAATTTTTGAAATTTTTTTTTATTTGTAAGGTTTTTTTTCTTTTTCTTTCTGTTATTGTTTGCAAGGGTTTTTTTTGTATTTAAAATATTCCTGGAGATAAATTTCTTGACATGGATTTGTTAGGCCACAGACTTAAATATAAAAGCTTTCATTATGGAAAAATTCAAATATAAGTCATACGTGAAAAAATAAATTTTCAGTTTCAACAATTGTAAACATTGTACTAGTCTTGTTTCATTTACAGTCTCAGCCCCAAGTCCAGACTTTACAGAAAATGTGACTATGTTTGAAGGAAGAGCCCTCAGGGTCCGCTGACACACTGAATGTGGGGTAGGAGGGAAAGGGAAGTCCAGGATGTGCTGAGGCCTAAGACCCAAGCAACAGGGAGGAGTCGTCCCTGACTTGCAGAGTGACGTTGAGGCAGGTCACTCACCCCTCTACCTTACCTCTGAGTTCCAGGGGCTAATGGTGGCGCCAGCATGTTTCTCAGGATGGTCTCCAGAGGTTCCTTGGACTGCTGGTTAGTGAGGCAGGTTCCAGGAACCCACCTGGACCTGAACAATCAGAATGTCTGGTGGATTGTGCCCAGGAATCAAGAAGCACCTACGAATGATTGCGATGCATAGTGGCCTGAGACCTACTTCAGTTGTGCTCAGACCAGCAGTATCAACATCACCTGGACAGCTTGTTAGACATGCAGACTCCCTCTAAGATGAAAGTCCCATAGAGGTGGTGCTTTACCATGAAGAAAATATGACTGGATATTTTTAAGAGGTTAACATGTTAGATTTTAAGTTCATCAGGGTCTGGATTCAAATTCTTGTGGTCGCTTCTCAGTAACTCTGTCTTGTCAAGTTACTCAAACTTTCTGATCCTAATTTGTCTTTCATGAAAAATAAATGTATACTAGAATCTAAAAAAAAAAAAAAAAAACTAACGGCAAATGCAGGCTCCCACTGCCCCACTCCCTCAGATCTGCTGAGTCAGAAGCTCTGGAAACCTTAAGCTCTCCAGGAGCTGAAGCGTGAGCAACACTGGTCAAAAGACAGGGTCAGCCAGCAAGCACTGATGGAGAGCCGGCTGTGCAGGCCCCGCCCTGGCAAGCCTCGCACTGTCCACCGCACCGTGATCCCCTTGGGGAGCTTTGGGAGGTGCCAGCCGTGCTCAGTTCATGTCGTAACATTGACTTATTTATCTGTTGTGCATTGAGGGAAGTATACAACCAGATAGTCAAACCCGCAATTTAACTGATTCTATTGTTTCAGAAATGGGTCCACATTTTTATAAACAAAACAATGGGAATTACATTTAAAAAAAAATAACTAACTTCCAATAAAGATAGGTTGTGGATTAAGCAGAAATGGAGAAGTAGTGTTCACAGGAACCAGAGCTGGGAACCACTGTGATACATTATAGATCCTCCAAGAATATGGAAGGGAGTAGAGAGGAAGGGAGTAAGGAAGGAGAGAAAGGATAGAGGAAGAAAGAGTTGAGCTCTCATTTCCCTGTTCTGTTTACTTCAAAAAAGCTTAGTGTCTACTACTACTATTACTACTACTACTACTACTATTACTATTACTACTACTACTACTACTACTACTACTACTACTACTACTACTACTACTACTACTAAGCATTCCCAGGCCCAGGAATAAAGTTCCCTTCTCTCCTTTGTTTTCTATCCTTAGTGGAATTGACAAGAAAAACCTGTAGCATGAAGGCAAGTCCTGCACTCTAGATTATGTTGTTAGAATTAATTCCGATTCTTACTTGAAGTCTGGCTTATTTCAGGGTTGGGACCTTTCCCTTGAAATAACAGTATTTAAGGGCAAGCAGGTTTGATTTGGTTTTACATCTATTGATCATCGGCCCACGATGCCAAGCCCAACCAGATAAACAGTGGGAAGGAAAGGAACAAAAGGCATTTTCCAAAAACTACCTCTTTCCCCATGTTCAGTGAATCAGCAGAAGTGGGGAACAATCCCTGCCCAGGGGTGGCAGAGGGAAAGCCTGGGGGGAGATGCCACCCCTTTCTTAAAATCCTCTCAAAGAAAAAAAAGTGCTGACTTTCATTCATTCCCTCCAGTATGGGAACTACTTCCCCTCTCTAACAGCGTCCAAGAGGCACAGGGCACTAGCAGGAGGAGAGAATGAGCTTTTCAGCTTCTTCTCAGTCCCAGCAATTCCAAAGAGAAAGTCTCGGTTCCCTGCCAGCACCTCTTGAAGAGAGCACACTTCAGAGTCAGACATTAGCCAGCTAGAATTTAGTAACACTGTTTTGCTTTCATTAGGCTGTATTTATTTTTGGATACTTTGTATTTGCATATTTTCATTTACAGATGTGGTTTAAAGTTTCCCTTTAAGAAATTTATTTAAGCTACAAAAAGTGAGTTGGTTTTGAGAAAAATAGTAATTAAATAATAGTGTTATTTATGACGATTAAATAATGGTGTTTGGATTATGACGAATAAGTTTGGGAGACCCTCATTCACCCTTATGTTTATGCCAGGCCCTGAAGACCCTCAGAACAAGACCCAGGAGGCTTTCAAGGGGGAGGGGCAAGTATTGAAATTATTTTAAAAGAGAAACTATTGTCCTCACTCTTCACACCTCTATGCTATTGTCAGGACTTTCCCTCTCCTTGTATCATATTCATTAATGTTGCAAGATCTTATTCTAGAACTTTTCCTCTTCTGAGCTCCCGCAGCACCTTGAAATTGCAATAATAACCAACATACATCGTTACCCTTGTGCCATGGCTGTGCTCTAAACATAAGCTAACTCATCAAAGTCACAGAATAACCCTATGCGGTTGGCCTTCTTACGAACTCCATTTTATAAATAAGGGTTCTGAGGCACAGAGAAGGGAAGCAACTAGCTCAAGGTCATACAGCTTGTGAGTGGCTTGAACCTTGAAAGTATGGGACAAATGTCAGTGCCCTTAACTCCTGTGCTTTGCTGTCTCTAATGTCACTTATCAGAGGAACTTTGCTTCTTTCCCTGGCTCGATCAGAGCTCCCAGGAACAAGGACCGGGTCTAATGTATCTCCCTCTTCCAGCACCTAACCCATTGGTTGCTTGGGTTATAAGAATGCCCACCGTACGTGGGTTGGTTGAATGAATGGATGTGCAGAGAAAGTGGTCTGGGAAGGTGAAATGACTTCTGGCATCATGCAACATTCATGGAGGGGGTCAGTCAAGTTGAGTGATGGGTGTGATTTCAACAGGTTCTCATGGGGAAGAAGAAACAGAATTATGGATGAAGAAAACCATATGAGCAAAGGTGCAAATTGGGGGCCATCATTTGTCTAATGTAGTTGGATTGGGGGAAGAGTTTAGAAAGTTCATGGGCATGAGAACATGGCAGGGGGCGGAAACCTAGGATTGCAGAGTAAAGACTTTGTATTCCTAGGAGCAGTGGGGAGCCAATGAAGGCTGTTATGCAAGGGAAGTGACACAATCAAAACTGGATGTTAGGGCGGTTAATATGACTGTGGCTTTAAAATGACTCAGGGGAAAGACTATGCAGTGAAAACCAGACAAAGAGCTAAGTGTGTGGGGAGCAGTGAGCAGTGCCATGTGTGGGTCTGGGGAGGGAGAGACTGGAAATGAGGCAACAGATGAAGGTTTGAGCAACGTGGGAAGGACCTGGAAAGGCAAACCTGGAGTCTGGCCCTTTCTTTTGGCAGGGTACACAGGAGGCTTTCAAAGTGGGGGTGCTCGGTCAGATCTTACTCAGGGCTTGTCTCTGGGTCAAAGGCAGACAAATGGGGTGAGGGTGGGAGGGGTGCAGCGGTCTTTCAGGGCTCACTAGGGAGCAACCAGAACCACCTCCGAGTGAAGGGGCCCCTATGGTGCCCTTTGAGGGCAGGACCAAGACGCAGAGCTCTGGCCGTGTAAATCAATCAAAAAAACTTCTTTTTGCTTTTTATTTTTATTTATATTTTATTGATTACACTATTACAGTTGTCCTGATTTTTCCCCTGTTATCCCTTTCCACCCAACACCCCCTACTCCTTCAGACAATCCGCCCACCATTGTTCACATCCATGGATCATATGTGTAGGTTCTTTGGCTGCTCCCTTTCCTATACTGTACTTTACATCCCCATGGCGATTCTCTAACTACCTATTTGTACTTCTTAATCCCCTCACCTCTTCACCCATTCCCATTCCCCTGCACCCCCTCCCTTCCAGTAACCAACTTCTTTTCTCTTGCTTTTAAGAGCCTTTATCTTTAATCTTTGGCCTTTTAAAAATGATGTGTCTTGGAGTGGGCCTCTTTGCAT